GCTGAGTGGACAGAACAAATTTAAGTATTCCACGTGCTTTGAGAGTTTTGACAGCTGAGTCACCCTTTGGTGGGCTGCAGCCTCCAGTGAAGGCTGCGTGGCAGAAAACACTGCAGTTCTTACTACCACAGGAACAGCCTCAAGTCTTGGATATCTGAGAAGATCACTAACCCAGTCTCTCAATCCAAAAGGTCTGCTTTAAAGACATGATCATTTGTGTGCAGGAAACCTTGATCTTCCCTTTTATCCCCCAGTCTGAATGGCTCCAAGTGCTGCTTGGCCAGGCTATTGTGCACATCACATGTTGGAGACAGTTCCCATCGGGCTACAAACACTCCTGCTGGGTACATTCTGCCTGTCACACTGATGTGAGGGGTAAAGACCAAGCTGAAATCTTAGGGCTTAGAGTGAGGTAGGGCTGTTTGTGACAGTGGGCACAAGTGCCAAGCTCTGGTCTTCTCCCAGAGAAGAACCAGATGAGACCTTACCTCATTTTTCTAACATAGGTGGAGTGTAACCTGCAGAGGAGAGAGGAAGCTCTTCTGTGCAGTGCTTGATAAACTGCAGCCATAGCCAACACCTACAGTTGGGGTCTCGGCCTAAAAGGAGAAGCATAAAATGTAATGCAGCAGCCCTACAAAGTTAAGTTTGATTTAAAAGGCGCAATAACCAGGTAAATCTCCCTCTCCAGAGTCCACAGAATCTGCTTTCTAAATTTACCACTTTGGTTTCAGTCTCCAGTCACACATCAAACCCAGTTTCAGGCCATTTTTAAGACTGTTTAAAGCTACCTGGGTTTGTTTCCACCCGTGAGTGTGCACAGGTCTCATGGAACTTGCTGTAAGCCTGGATTCAACGTTCCTGTCCCAAACCCCTGTGTCCCTGGGGAAAAGGGCTGCTCTCGTTTGCTTCCTACACAGTTGTAATGGCCTCGATCCAACCACACATCCCATTGCAGCACACAGTGGATTTGTGGGAAAGGCACGGATGCCAGAAGGGAATGAAAGGCAAAATATCAGCTGCAGAAGAGAATTCCCTGAGTTTAGACCGGAGACAGCAGTTGCAGCTGAACTGGATCATCTCCAGCTATGGACATTTTTTGTGCCAAAGGATCCTGCCACATTTGCAGTCGCAGACTTCAGTTTGACCTCGGCTTCAGGATGTCAGGAAATAGCAGAAACTCTACCATCTCTGAGCCAAAACTGAACTGTGATCCACAGTCCTTAATGATTACCCTGAATAGTTCACTTTCCAGCTGTGGAACTCGAAGCCCTTTAAGGAGGAAGTTACGTTTGCTTCGATTTACAGACGCAGAAAGTGCCAGGGAGGAGTCTGAGAGCCTTTCTTTCAGCAAAGGTCAGTGATGGCTCCCTGTGTGCACATGAAGACTTTGCCTTGTGGCTTCGGACATCTCTGCCCCGGATCCCTCTTTCCCACCGTGTCAGCTGACAGGGATGATCCCTCGGGAGACAGGAGACCCTGCTTGGGAAGCCGCTGGGCTGAGGCAGCCGCTGCGAGGACGGCGACTGTCCCAGACCGTGTGTGACAGGGTTTGGGGAGTGACAGCCGTGTGTCTGCCACTTCTCCACCCCCGCGTCTCCCGCAGTGTGAATTCCCGGCGCGGCAGCAGCGCTGGATGCAGGAGCTCTGCACTTTGCTCTGGAACGAGCGGCACGATGGGGACACGGGGAGCGCCTTGTCCGCAGAACTGCCCTTGTTTAACCCCTCCCCCCCTGGGAATCACCGTGCCAGGCTTGGAATCGCAGAACCAGTCAGGCTGGAAAAGGTCGTCGAGTCCAGCCTTTGACTGCCCACCACCTCCTCAACTAGGAATCACCGGGAATCCTTCAGCTTAACCCTGGAAGCGTTCCAGGCCGGGCTGGACAGGGCTCGGAGCAGCCCGGTCTGGCGGAAGGTGTCCCCGCTCCGGACACGGCACAACCCGCCTGGCTGGGCTGGGAGCTCCCCCGGCCGGGCCGGAGCGGGGCTGTGCCCGCCCTTCCCCAGGGATTCCCCACTCACTGCAACCCGTGTCCGGCAGCAGGGACCGGCTGGGAAGGTGCCGGGCTTTGGCCAGCAGCGGGGATCAGCTGGGAGCGTCCTGGGGCTCAACCTTCCTCTGCGGAGCGGCTCTTACTGGGCCGGTCGCTGTTCCCGCACTGGGAGCGCTGGGAAATGTAGTTCTGCACAGCCGAGGGCTGGCGCTCCGCGCCGGGGCTGGAATCACTTCTGCAGTTCGCGAGGCTGCCCGAGAGTAAACTCCCTCTATTTTTTTTTTTTTTTTTTTTTTTCCCCTACCCCAACACACCAACTTTTTGTTTTAAAGCTAGTCATCCACAGTCTGTGGACTTTTTCTGTCCCTAGTGAGCTGCATATCAATAAGCCAAACTCCCCCTTTTTTTTTTTTTNCACCTGCTTCGTTCCATCAGCGATCCTGCATTTGGCCGAACAGGAGTTACTGTGACAACAGTGCTACTGCAATAATTTGAGCTGTTCTTAGCACGAGAGTTTGGATCCCGGGAGTTTTTTTGGTTTTTTTTTATCAATTCCGAGCTTCTCCGGGTTGTGTATCCATAACATAAGAGCACTGTTCAAAGTTAAGGACCATATGTCCTCAAACAGGGAAACGTGCCAGGAGCTGTATAAATCCAAAGGCTGGAGCTGTTCAGTGTTCCAGCACCCAAAGCCACAGCTGAGTTTGTCAGCGAATTTCTCTGATCAGAGAGTGTGCTGTGCCAAGGCACACGTCAGAATAATGACAGATTATTTTCATTCCTTTATAAGTGAACAAACAGATTCCTCTCAAGTACTGAAAACATTATTCTGGGCTGGAACCTACGTGGCTATATTTAGCACAAAGAGAATTTTATAAACATATGAAAGTAAATGTTTTCAGGGCAGCCTTTTGCTTTTTGGTCGTGAATTGAGCCGTTCTAATCGAGAATTCACGTCATGTAATTTTGAGAGCGTGGCTTGTAAAAATAACAAACAAAATATGCAAGGAAACAGGACTCTTAGCAGAATTACTTACAAGTTTAGGTTTAATTATGCCTCACTGCTATTTGTGTGCTTCCTGAGACAGAGCAAGCCAGATCTTATTAATCCACTGGGCTAATTGGATTAATGGACAAAACACATCTTCCCTTAATAAGATAAAGGATTGAAATATAATCTCTAAGGGAAGTATCCACCCTGCTGTTAAAACAAACTAACAGATTTATTGACCCTGACTGGCCCCAGAACTGGATCTTGGGAGGAAGAGCTGGTTTTAGAGGGAAGCAGCTGGAGGAGGTACTTTGGACCTCACATCTTGGGACAGCCTCTCAACCCTGTTCAGCCCCAAGCAGGCAGTGTCTTGGTGAGTGTGCCCTGTCACATGAAGGATTAAAAGCCAGAGCTCTCCACTGCAGTGTCAAGCCTCCTCTGAGGGCAGGGCAGTGTCGCAGCCTGTAGTTGCTATATGAGAGAAAACACATTGATAAGCCCAATCATGTGTACCTGGCCTGTGTGCTGGGCCAAGATATGCAGGGAAAATGGGATTAGAGTCACTTTTGCTACTGGGCTGAGCAGTGGGAAGCCAAGCAGCCTGGGAGAGATTCCTTGTGCCTTCTCCAAGGGTCCATACGTTTATTGCCCTGTTAAATATTTCTGCAGCACATAAGCAGGGGAGATGATTTTGAAACAGAGGCTTTCTTGTCATTCATTCACTTGATCATTTACTTTAAGGAGCATGAATACCAGTTGTTGCTTTGGCACTGAGTTGTTTCTTTGTAAGTATTTTTGGGCTCTGAGTTGTGTGAATTGCACCTATAAACTGCATGTATTAATCCCCTGCAGACACTGCACTCCATGCTAGGAGCAATCCTGGGAGCGAAGGGAAGGCCTGGCCACACAAATGCATCCCTGAGATTTCTGTAGCTTCTAATTTGAGCTTTGGCAGGTCCCCAGAAGAAGTGAATCCCAGAGACTCTCCTGATGCTAGAAGAGCAAACAAAAGGAGCAGGCAAAGAGGACACAAGCAGCAAGAAATGCTTGCCATCTCCTACATGGACAAGATTGCAAACCAGGTAAATCTTTGGTCCTGTGTTGCTAAGATTATTATTTTTTTAATCTGGGTTTGTAAAATATTCATATTGGGATTAAGCGTTGGTAAAAGACTTTTTTTCAAGTCAAAAAAGTGGCTGGAAAATGTAATTATAGGCTAATAATAGTTATACTAATCTCAATTTTTCTCTCTGTTTTGTGTCTTTCCAGCTGCCCCCAATAAGCAGAAATAAGCATTAGAATTGCTAACAGCTGGCCCTTGTAAAACAACTGTTAATTGCCCTAAATATATGAAACTAGCAAATTCACATTGAAAACTCATGGTCAAGCCACAGGAAACCTCTTGGCAAAAAAAGACTTCTTTTTTTTTTTTAGGACGAGCCTAAGGAAAGACAAACCACTTCTTTAAAGAGAAAGTTAACCAGTAGTCTTCCCCTCTGTCATTAAACTGGCAAACTAAGCTAGTCTGGCTTTTCTCTGAAGTTAGATTTGTGTATGCTACATATATGATGGGCTCCTATGGTTTCTCACACTCAGGGTGGGGACCTTGAAAGAAAGAAACTGCCTAATTTGATCTGCTGATTACATCCTGTGCTCCTAAGCCCTGGACAGGGGGAGAGGGGACACTTGAACATCCGAGTGGCATTTTCCTGGGATTTGTTTCAGGTCACGTATGAGTTCTGTCTTTTCCCCTCCCTTGGTGCTGCTGTTGGTTATGGAATATCCTCAAACTCTGGGGGCTGACTTGCACTGCACAAAATAACTGGTGGCAGAATGTTGACTGCAGGTGATGGCTTTGTTTTGGGAGCAGACTGGTGGGAAACTAGACCCCTCTACAAAGGGTGAAACCTCAGCTGTGGATACACCTGAAAAAAAAAAGCTAAGCTTTTTGAGCTAATGGGTTGACATAAAACTGATAAAAAGTCATCGATATGACTCACCTGTGTCTTAAAATTGCCTGCAGTTCACGACCTGTCGTTCCCAAAAGGATGCTGGAGATCTGGAAAAGGTTCCAAGAGGGCAACAAGCATGATTAAAGGCTTGGCCATGGCAAGGAACTAGATGGGCTCTGACTTCAGCCTGGGTAAGTCAGCTGTAGACCAAATCTATCAGTCTGGAACCTTCAGCCCCACGCTGAGCAACACAGCCCTCAAACGTGCTCATTGTTGTTCCCCACTGCCTGCCTTGCTTCCTAAAAATGTCTGGATAGTGCAAAAGATGCTGAGGAAGCAGCAGATCTCACTAGAAAAAATCTGAATGTGCCTCTCCAGTGTGGGAAGTTTTGCCAAATCTCTGGAAGCTGCTGTTAAATCTCTGGCTACATGTTATGGACTCTTTGGATAATGGGGCTTTAACTAGATGCCTCAGCTAGAAGCTTGGATATCATTCCAGTGTTTCCTGCTAGTTGTAGGAGTTGTATTTCTGTTGGAAGGCGACCAAAACAAGAGGAAAGGAAGGCTTATTTTTTGACGGATAGTTCCACTTAAAACTGGCCTTATTCCTGCTCTGGAGCAGCAGCTCTCGCAGTGCTGGCCCTGTGTGGACACATCTGTGTCCACAGCTGGAGGAGAAAGGACTGAATTCACTTCATATCTCAGAGCCTCCCCCAAAATGGGACATGACACCCAGGGTTTGCCCTTCCCAAAGCATTGCTGAGGGAGTTGGAGCTGAGGGAACAGTTTAGGGAAGAAATCTTAGTTATGGATCATGCTGCAACCTCCAGTTCCCTCTGCTGAGCGAGGTGGGTTTAAGCCAGTTCAGTCATCCCAGTAAAGAACGTGTGTTAGAGGGGGATTTTGACCCCTGTTATGGGGGATTTGCCCCCTCCCTGTTATTGTTGGGAAAGATTTCCAGCTGGGAGTGACCAAAAATGTCTGCCTTAGGAGGAGGAAGATTGAAGGCTGGTTAGGCTACTGAGGAGGTGATTCATTATTTGCAGCCCAGATCTAAAGAGAAAGGAAAAAATGCTTATGAGTGTCCCTGTCCAACTTAATTGCTGGAATGAACAAATAACTGGAATCCTAGAAAACAATGAGCAGTCAGCATTGACCTGTCATGGCAAGACACATCCAGGCAGCTTATTAATGCCTTTCTGTGATAGCTGAGACTCCTGCTGTACCAGAGTGGGTGAGGGCTGATAGTGGTTTGATACAGGTTTTGCTGCTGCCTTGCAAACTGCTTTTGGGATCAGTTGAGATGGAAGCCCTGGAAGGAAGGAGGAGGCTGCTTCAGCAACAGCACTGGAGGAAGGCACCCATCAGTGTGGAAATGTCTTCACCTGGGCTGGCAGGAGAAGGTGAGTGAAAGGCTTGGCTGGTGGGACAGAAAGTGTGCTGTGAAATGCAGCAGATGGCACTGGCAGGAGAGAGGGAGGTGCAAAGCTGCTTTGGAATCACAATTATCCATAGAAATTAAAGCAGCAGTCAGAGAGAGGGGACACAAGACTCTGTCTCAGAAAGAAATGAGAATCTGTGCAGATTCAGAATCTGGGCACAATTCAGTTGCACAACCAAATTGTGCAGCTGGTGTGAATCACTGTGGGCAGGGAGCGGATCCCCATTGGAATGTCTGTTCAGGATTGTCAGCTGGGAGCTGATCCCCTCCTGGAAGTGGGACTTGGGCTTGTGGGGCTCAGGCCTGGGCTCTGCCAGGATCTCCTGGGAAACAGGGACACTGCTGGAGGTGGGAGTTGAAATCATAGAATCATAAAATCATAGAAAAAAAAATATCCTGAGCTGGAAGGGACCCGGCACGATCATCGAGTCCAACTCCTGGTCCTGCAGAGGGCACCCCCAGAACTCCACCGTGTGGAGAGTGGTGTGGCAGGGTGGGCACCATGATCCCAGGGGTCTTTTCCAACCTGATTGATTGGGACTCCGGGCTCAGCTGCCCTGAGGCTAGGCAGGGCTGCACGTGCTGTCTCCTGGCCTTTTACGCCTTTCCTGGCAACTTTTACTCCAAACCCCGCCACTTTCAGCTAAACCCTTTCACATTTCTTCTTGTCTCCGTGTTGGTTTGCACTCCCCGCCCCGCTGTCCCGCCGGTGCCGGTAGAGCCACATCCCCATGTCCTGGTGTTGCCCCCTGTGTCTGGTGTCATTCGTGTTGTCAGGGCGTCCCCCCCATGTCCAGTGTTCCCCATGTCAGGGTGTCCCCTGTGTCCGGATGTCCAGTGTCCCTCCCGGTGTCCCCCGTGTCCTGTCCGGTGTCCCCCCCTGTGTCCGATGGCGGCGGCCCTGTGGGACCCACGTGGAGCCCCGTGTGGCGCATGCGCGGTGCGGCGGCCGCCGCTGTGACCGGGCTCACGTAGCGCGCGGGGCGCCCCGCCCCGGGGGGCGCGGCCTGAGGGGGCGTGCCCGGCGAGCCCATAAAAGGCGCGGCGGGGCGGTCGCGCGCTCAGTGTGAGAAGCCCCCGGGCAGGACGCGGAGCTCTCGCAGCGGCGCCGCCCCCGCCCCGCCGCCCCCCGCGCTCAGGTGAGGCCTGCCCACCCCCGCCGCGCTGTGGGCGGGTGGGGTGGGTCAGCTGAGGGCAGCGCCGCGGGTCCGGCCGCTGCACGGGCGGGCGTGGGTGGGTGGGGGCGATACGTGGCAGAGCCCCGCCGCCGCCCCCGCGGCGAGGGGTCCCGGCGCTCCCGGCCCCGTGCTCCCGGCCCTTACGTAACGGGACCGGCAGCCTCCGGAGGGGGGCGGGAGGGCGCCGCCGCGGCGGCTTCCCCGCGCCTGGCAGACTAAACACAGCCGCCGCCTCCTCCTTCTCCACGTCCTCCCCCGCCCGCTCCCCGAGCGCCCTCGGGCCGAGCACCCCCGGCTCGGCTCCGCCGCCCCCCGCGGCCCCCGGTCCGTGCGGCCCCAGGCGCGGGGAGCGCTCTGCCGGCACGGACGGGTGCGTGCTCGGCCAGAGCGCTGCGTGCGGGGATTGCACCGCGAGGGATGAGGCTGCTCCGCGTTTGCCTCCCCGCTGTTTCCCAGCCACTCGCTTTGTGTGGAATTGCGTGCCCACCTTTGCCGGCAGCCCTTGCCCTTCAGTGTGCGTGTTTTGATAGGATCTAACCCTGACCGGGAGGAGAAACTCCCGACGTGGAGTCTTTGAGCGCTGCTGGTGAATAGAATAAAGAAAATAAAAATGTCACATGTACTTATTCCAGTTTACCTGAAAAGTAAGGATCCTTCAGGATTGCAGACACCAGCATTCGGTTTCACTTTGGTTTTCCTGCTGACTTCAGTAAGAGGAGAATGCAGAGTGCTTTAAGTGTTCACCTACCTGTGATAAGTGAAGGTTCAGCGCTCAAGGGTTTAGTGAATGAAAGAAGCCATTGGTTACAAGAATAAATAAATGCAGCTTCCCACAAAGCCAGGGGCTGTTGGCTGAGTGTGCCGACAGTGCTCTGCCAGGGGCGGAAAGTCAAGGTAATGAGTTCCTGTTCTGTCTGGGAAGCAGAGGCCTCCTGTTGGGTCAGAGATGTTCTCTGCCCTACTGCTCTACCCTTGGACCATTGCTGGATCCGTTTTAATGCCTTAAACCACACTGCCAAGCATTTCATTTGACCTGGAGTACTCTGCACTGCTCCTTAGGTATGTGCTGACACAACGAGGACTGATTAACTTTTTTCTCTCTTTGTTTTCTTCCCCGAGCCAGCTCTCTGACCTGTAGAGGTTTAAATGTTGTTCCATAACGAATAGGTTTAAATTCTGCCATTAAAGCTGTGATTTCAGGGCTTGCATATAGATTGGAAAACTCCCAGTGCAGTTTGGCAAATGGAAATGACAGGTAGTGAGTTAACTCTGGAAGGAGTGAGGATAAATAGAGATTTATGGGAGGAAAACTCTGCCTCCATGCTGAGATTGATAAAGGTAAGGAAACCCCTTTTCTTCATGAGAGTATACTCGATGAAAAAACTTGACTTCAGCTGTCAGATCATTGGGATTGTCCTGCTTTCTTTGCAATCACTCTTAATATCTGAAAACATTATATCTCTGTAGATGCTCTGCTAATCCTTGAGTAGAAAGGTAAACAGAAGGATAGCCTCCTGCTTGTTGTGTCTAGTAAGATAAGTGCTCTGTTCCATCCCCAGTGTTCATTGCCTTGGCTTGGGAAGTTAAAACAAGTGGCCTCTGAGGGCTGTGTCCATTCAGTCTTAGGCTGGAAGAAATCAAGGGAAAACTTGCTGCAGTTCCCTGGGTACAAACACATGTGCTCTGTATACTCAGACTCACAAATGTTGTCTTCAACTTGGCAGTGAATTATAATTAAAACACATCACCTACTTGATGCTAAAATTGATTCTCATCTCTTATTAGATATTATTTATATAGATCAGATTCTGTTACAACTCTGTCATTAAAAGAAACCTGAAACACGCCCTGTTCTTTTGGTAGCAGCAATTACAGAAAATCTTTCTTCTCTCACTGCTTGAATCTTAATTTTAAACCAGCTTTGGACGTGCTAGAGGACTTGGGAACTGGATCCTAATGTTTGTCGTGTGAGACCATTAAGCAATAGTGACAGCTAAATGTTCTTAGTCCTTATTCTGGGAATTTCTTTCCTTTGCAGTAGTATTTCCAGGCACATCACATGATGAGACTGTAACTTGGGTTGTCCTTGAGACAGGAGAGGTTTTGGGCAGTGAGCAGCTATCACTTCCAGTGCCATCCTCTCCATTTCCCACAAACTCAGCTCAGTTTAACTATCTGGCTTTTTTTTCTCTATTATTTTTTATATGCGGTGGGATACAGTAAGGATTGTGAGAGTGGACCAGCATTTAAATCAAAAGTCGAGAACCCCGATGACACAGTTTTGGCCTTGACTTCATTTGGAGTAGGCCACTAATTCCTTACCTAAATAAAGAAACTGGTTTGGAATGAAGTTAGAATTATTCTGGGATAGCTCTATGTTGAAGTACACCCTAAGCTTCCATTTTTTTATCCCGTTTTCTGGATCCTGGTGCACCTGGGAGCTCGGAGTTGGCAATGAGGAGACTTGTCTAACGAGCATCTCCACTCTCGGGGCACTGACTGGTGACCTTGGTCCCAGTGAGGTCACATCACTGCAGTTTGTCTGCACTTTTCCTTCTGCTGGCACGTCTCTACCTGTAGGGCTGAGCTGAACTCTTTAAGGAAGTCCTCCAAACCCCACCTCTGTAAGTTTCCTGAGTTGAAAAGGTGTTTGTTGGGTGTCCCTGCTGTCTGGGGAATCCTGTGCTGCTCTTGGCAGTGCCATTCCTCTACTTGCTGCTTTGTTTTACTTGGATCCACAGGTTTGGTTGCTCTTTACTTTTTTCCCATTCCTGTGGAGGTTTTTTTTGTGCTTTGCCACGTTTAGTGAATGTACTTCTGGGAAGTGGGGAAGCTCCTGTGTTCAGAGCTGTCAGCTGGACTCCCACTTCCCTCTGTGGGTAGTGATTCCCTCCTCTCCAAGGTTCTCAATTGCCAGCTTTGCGTTTGCTGAGGAGGAGAGTGAGACTGACAGGAATAATGGAGAGAGGATTTTCATCTTGTTTTACTTCATGTCATCGACAGGAAGAAATTAAACCTACTTATTTGGCAGCTTGTGCTGCATCCAAGAGATTTCCAGCATTTATCTTAACCAAGCTTTATTTTCTTTGATTTGGGAACCTGGGGCTGATCCTGCAGTGGTTGGAAAGCTCTGCTACTTAGCAACTGCTCTTAGGGCAGCATGAGCTTGGCTGGCCCTGCCTCAGCCTCCCTGTCCAACTCTGAATTCCGTCTGGGAGGGAAGGAATCTTGGGTGGCTGAAAGCTATTACGGGAGTCGAGACCTTGCAAACGACAGGAAATGTGGGAAAGGAAGGAGGAAATCAAGCTGGAGGTGACCTCTGGATGTCATCTAAACCTAACCTGTTCCAAGTTGGGTGAGCCTGGGGGTCTGGTGAGGCTGCACGTGGGCTCATCCCGTTTCCTTTTGAAATTCTTCCAGGAATTGGAAATCCAGTTTCTCTGGGTAGCCTCTTCTACAGCTGAAGTGGGAGACACTTTGTGTTTCTGCCACCTTGGAATTCCCCTTGTTGCAGTTTGAGCCTGTTGGCAGTCGCTCATTCAGCTGTGTGCCTATAGAGATATAAGGTGGGAAGAGGGTTGCAACAGCATTTGGAGGAGCCTGGTATTGGAGCAGGCTAAAAAGCAGCTGGAGAAGAGGAAAAACAAGGTCACTGAGAGCAGTATATGGAGAGGAAACATTGTTTTCATCACCTTTTTGGTGGTTTTGTTTGCTTGTTTTGTTTGTTTCAGAAAAGTTTTCTATTGATTAATAGTAAAAAAAAGTAAACTTTCCAAAGCTTTCCTTGTGTTTTTCACTGAGTGCAGTAAACAAATAGCTGAGTGAATTCCCAGCACTGATAAGGTTGGCAAATATTTCTGGTGTAGTGGAGCTGTTTGTGCTTTGTCATTGATTCACAGATGTATTGGCTCCAGCGCTGAATGAGGAGGCACTTGGCTTTCTGCAGGGGGAAGTACAAATGGGGTGGTGGTTTTAGGAGGTTTAGGTGGTTTTAGCAGGTACCTACCAGTGGCTTTATTAGTTGTGTTTGCAGTAGCCTGATGTGGCTGTGGAGGGGCTGAGCCAGGAGGACATGAGGAATGCTGCTGTGGACAGCAGGGCTGTTTTAGAGCCTTGGAGATGCTCAGGGGCCTGGCTCGACTGGGAGAAAAGTAGGACTCCAGTCTTCCCTCTCCAGATATTCACTTCACAGCTTGCTTTCTGCCAGGGAGTGTGCAGGAATGCTTCAGCCCTTCAGTTGTGGTCCTGCAGGTTTCAGCTGCTTTACAGGAGTTGGAGGTCGTGCTGCTTTTCCTGGCTCGAGTTTCCCCTTGTTCCTGTCCGTGCCAGTGAAACTCTGCTTGTCCCGTCCAAGAAGCAGCTCACAGAGTAAATCTAAACCCCGGGGCTGCTCCTTTTGGAGTGCTGGAGGTGGAAAGGAAAGGAGGGAGCTGCTCCCAGACCCTCAGGTGCAGTACAAGAGAAGATCCATGCTCTGGAGCCAGTTCCCTGTCAATATCCCACTTTTGGGTGGGATGGTTTTGCTTTGGGTGCAGCTTTTGGACTTTGCTGATGTTGTTTACACCTTCCTTGTGTGAATGGCACACCTGGGTTTATGTTGTTTGCCCTCAGTTCTGTCCGCTCAGTCAAACCCGTGTTTCTTTCTTCCCTAAATAGGCCAAACCACTTTGTAGCTGGGCTTGTTGCTTTTTTCTTTTTTTGCTTTTTTTCCTCCTTCTCCATCAGTTGTCTGGCTGTTGGAAGAGTTGTAAAGCAGCTCCTGTTAGTCCCTGCAGTCTGTTTGTTTTTCCAAGCAGATACAGTACGTGAGAGTTCAGGCTTTTGTTTGGGAAAAAAGTAAACCTTGTGAATTCCACGACAGCATAATTACTGCTGAAGTATGCAGGAGCCAGGCAATCCTGGGCTGCTGAAGGGATCAGGAGCCTGAAAGGCTGAGAGCTTGGCAGCTGGCCCTGGGAGAAAGCACTGCCATGGGCTTTTCCAGGATCCAGGGACAGAGCAGCCTTTTGTGTCAGGTGTGGAGCTGTTCTCGTGGTGGCAGCCAAGGAGCGGGAGTGTGCCCCACTCCCCCTCTGAACTGCTTGTGGAGGGTTTTCATTTAGACCCGTTCCACTGGCTTCTTTCTGACTGAAAAATGGAAACTTTGGGCTTTTTTCATGGAGTGGATGAACTTGATAACGTGTATTTTAACTCAGTGTTATGGGTTCTGTCAGTGGTTGATTTTGGGTTTTTCAGTGCTTTTTGCAAAGCAGCTCCATCTGCACTGGGACTTCAAAAAGAAGAGTCTCTGAGCTATTCTTCTCTTCCCACAGGAGACAAAGGTATAAGGAAGTCAGCAGAAGGATATTAGTCCTCTGAGAGCTGCTCCAGCCTGTCAGGATTCTGCACTGGTGGCAGCCCCACTGTCTCTTCTCAAGGTGGATTCAACTCTCTGGTGAACAGAGATGTTTTACCTGTTGTTTTTTTTGTTGCTGACACAGGTCTGTGGTGAGGTGACAGCTGTTGAGCAATGGCCTTCAACAAGGTTTGGTGTGCCCTAGCCCTTGGATTTCTGCTGCCTTTTTCTTGTGCCCACACGGACTTCTTCACTTCCATTGGTGAGACATCCTTTGCTGTACATGCTGTGTAGCCAAGAGAGTTTCCTGACAGCTCTCACTGCTGATTCTGCTGTGTGTTAATCCTCCAGGGCTTTAATCGGTACAGGACTGAACCCACTTCCTAGTTCTTACCACAGTATTGACTTTCCTTTGAGGAGAAACATTCTCTGAGTCACTCCAGGTAGTCTAATGACCCAGGCCAGGCTTTGTAGTCGTTATTTATTCTTACAGGTATTGGAATTTAAACAGAATTTTGGTGTGGGCCGTTGCACATGTGTGGAAACAAGTGGGACAGCTCCATAGTGATGCAGAAAATCAGTGTACTCACCCTGGGTTCTGATGGCCTGGGGCACAGCTGAAGGTGGGGACTGCACCAGTTCAGCTGCCTTCTTGCAGGAAATGAAGCAATTATTAATTAATGCCAGGGACCCATTGAAGTCATGGAAGTAATCTTAAAAATAAAGCCCTGGATTAGTCTGTGTATCAGACACGGGTGCTTTGTGTGTTTCTGTAGCTTTCTCTTTATTTGCTCTACATTATGTATGCTTGGATGAAAGATTACTCTGTGGCAACCTACTTCCTTTTCCAAATGAATCCTAAATTAGTTCTAATAATAAATATGTGGTATTACATTAATTTCCATGGCAACGAGCTTGGTCCAGCAGGAGATTTTTCTCCTTCAAAAAAAGCCTTACTCAAACAGTCCTTCAGGGTTATTTAAGCAAATGCAGAAGGACTTTGGGGAAGGCAGAGTTGTAGAAGGGAAGAAAGTAGAAAAGAGGAAGAATGCCTTTAATTCCCAGAGTTTTTTTGTTTCTCCTTGACTCACCAAACTCATTTGTTTTCTAGGTCACATGACAGACTTAATTAACACAGAAAAAGATCTGGTGGTGTCACTGAAGGATTACATCAAGGCAGAGGAAAGCAAGCTGGAGCAGATCAAAAAGTAAGCAGTTTGTTTCATAATGCTAATGGTTAATAGTTGGAGTCCACCCTTGTGCAAAAAGTGCTTCCCGAGGCTGATTAAGTTTGTGGAATTTTTCTTCTGAGGCAAAGCCCAAAGCAGCAGGTTTTGCTGGGTGTTTGTGAGGTTGTGCAGCTCCCACAGGATGGAATCTGATTGACCCACTTTCTGTACAGCACTGTCACTGCAGGGCTCCTGCCTGCACCTAATTCCCAAGGGGATGGAGTCTTTGGAATGGCAGTTTGCTTAGTGGAAACTAAAACCCAAGATACATCAGATGTAAATCACTAAAAAGTGTTGGGGTAGCCACTGAATTGCCCACTGCAAGGGCACAGGTTGTCTCTACAGATTTACTCAGATTTAAAAATAAAATAAAGCAAAACAAAACTCCTTTACTGCTTTTAAAAATAACAAGGGGCCTGACCATTGCCATTATTGTGGTCCTCACACCTATAGGGCTGAGCAACAGAGCCCAACATGTCAGATTTTATCCCAGCTGGGAAAAAAAAAAACATCACTGAACAGGATGCTTTCCTGGCTGTCAAAAGTGTGTGTAAATCTGCCTGGAGGATGTCGAAACAGTTTTAGATAGATAGGTGGATTTTATTTTATTGTGTATTACTTTCTGGTGTTCTACCAACCAGGAAGAAATGTACTTCTGTCAGATTGGGTTTATATATATATCACTTAAAGTACAGAGTTGGAATTGCTGACAGGTTTGGAATGTTAGAAGTATATTCTTTACAGCTACAAATTAGCATGGGAATGTGCCAATTGGACATCCAAAAGTGTGTAAATGCAGCTTATTGTCCTGAGTGTTGCAGCTCTGTTTTTATGATTTCAGAGGAGCTGTCAGGTCAGAGTTTTATCTCTGTCACAGAGATAAAAGGCCCTGGAGAAAATGCCAGCACTGTTTGTTGGGCTCTGTCCTTTGGCTGAAGGATGTGGGGAGCTGGTGTTCACTTCAGCTCCCAGACAGCTGGTAATTCCCTGGAATGTGGAGGATGGCTCAGGCCTCGTGTGGGGCCTTTTATCAAACAGAAACCACTTGGAAGAAATCCTGCAAACCTAATTCAGGCAAACCAGGTTCTGGAACACGCTGGTGGACAGAGTTCCCTCCAGGCTGCAGATTTTTGTGTTTGCCTTCTGTTGTAGTTGGGTTTTGTCTGTGGGGTGTGGCTTTTTAACATGAATTTACCCTGATTTCAGGGCGTTGTTACATCCTCATGTTGTAGAACCTGCATTGTTTTGAAAGCCGTGCCTGTTTGGGAGCAGGTTGGGGTTGGGAATGATTTATGGCACTTAGAGAGGATTGTGGAGATGGAGAAGCAGTACCAGGAATGGGATCTGGGCTCCTTGTCCTTTCTTAAGCTTTCAGCTTTGTGGTGGGATAAGTAAGGAGCTTATCACAGATGTAAGAGTGTGTGTCTGAACATAAAATAACTTGAGACAAGCGTGGAACTGCCTTTTATAAACTTAAGGGGGGGACGACAGCCATTTAAAAATAAAAGATTGCAAATGGGGGTAAAGCTTTGTTTTTGATTAGTCCTGCATGGCCAGCTCATAATGGAAGTGCTGGCACAGTGCTTTTGGGGCTTGTAGGAAGGAGCTCCTTCAGGCAGGGTCCCAACAAAGACAGCAAGAGCAGCACAAGGTTTGAGCTGCAGCTGAGGAAGAAGATTAAAAAAAAAGGGAAAAAATAAAGCAAATAGCCCTTTTTGTTCCTTCTAGGAGACTCTATATATAGATAATGTAAATGCTTGCAATTTCTGTTGGGTTTTTTATTAAGGAAGACACTTGAGTAGCTTGAAATCAGTTCTCCAGAGCATCAGCAGACTTGTGCAAGACTTTAATGAATGTGTGGTTTCATTATAGATGGGCAGAGAAATTGGATCAGCTGACAGCCACTGCCACAAAAGACCCAGAGGGGTTTTTGGGACATCCTGTAAATGCCTTCAAGTTGATGAAAAGGCTCAACACAGAGTGGGGTGAGCTGGAGAACCTGGTGCTGAAGGACATGTCAGATGGTGAGTGTGCCTGCAGGAAAAAAACAGGATAATGTGCTAAAGGCAGTGCCTTGGCTGTGTCCTTCCCATGGCAGGGTTTGAATGGGGTTTGTGAGGCTGCTTTTGAGACTGAGCACTTGTGGAACCAACCTGAATTAGTGTGGTAAACACTCTGCTGGCTCTTTGCTTCAGCAAGAGTAGAGGCTCTTTAGCAAGGAACAGGACATGAAATGGTTGGCTGTGAAAGACACTTAGCAAAAGGAAGCCAGCATGGTTATATTTGACCTGTGAGACTGTCAACAGCTAATACCAGGTGGAGGTTTGTAGTGAGGAACTGTAAGAAAGCAGAACTTTTAAAAAGACCCAGGATTCGTCTCTGGTCAGGATTCAGCACATTCCACTTCCCTGTTGCTGTGAGAGGGACCGAGTGTGCCAACTGAAAAGGCTCTGCACCTGCCAGCCACAAATCTGGACTGGAGTGTCTTAAACCCTTCTTCTGAATGAGGAGGAGGGAAAAAGAAAGTCCACTTTTTGTTATAAGGAGAAAGGAAAATACTGGGGGAAGTGCAGTGCAGTAAAAGAAAGGCAGAATGAGAGGGAAAGGATATTGTGTTTTTTTCCCTAAAGTAATAGTGTTATGAGTTCTGAATAGTTAAAAAGGACTACTAGAGTGTGGCAAAAATCACAGATTTGCCCAGTTCACTATTTTTTGGATGGTTTTGCCAGCTGAGTGTTGCATACTGTGCTTGGGCTGGTTTTGGTCATGCTGTTTAGATTTCTGCTGGTGATCATTAAGATGGATTTAATCAGCATCATGTCGGCACTGCTTGTGCTTCTGGAACTTGGGGCAAAAGAGGGGAACAGTTCCTTGAGAGAATATTCTTTACTGTATAGAACCTGCTGGTCTCCTGTCCAACAAACACCCCCCTCGTGCTGCTGCTGCAAAAAGCCCCCAAGTGTTTCTTTGTGACGGTTCCTTTGCTTGCTTTAATTAAAAAAACCCACCCAATGCTAATTGTGCAGCATGAGTTCAGTTCAGAGCTGTGTGAAGGTGGATCTTTAATGCCTGGAGTTTACAGAATTCCCAGGACAAAGCCAAGGGTTTCCCTGTCTTTCCCAGGCTTTATCTCCAACATGACTATCCAGCGGCAGTTCTTCCCCAATGATGAGGATCAGACTGGTGCAGCCAAAGCCCTTTTGAGGCTCCAGGACACGTATAATCTGGACACAGACACCCTCTCCAGAGGGAATCTGCCAGGTAAGAGCCATCCATGTTATTTGCAGCAGTCACTGTGAACTTTAAATGTCCTGTTTATAAATCATTTCCTCTGTTCCACCTCGCTCAGCTCCTCTGTGTGAAGGTAACAACAGGAAAAGGTTTGAGTGGCTAAAACTTAGGAGAAAAATTCTTTTGAGTTGAAATCTGTGTCTTTCTTCTAGCAATGGTAAGATAGTTTGGTGTTAATAACTTTTAATAAAAAATCGAGAGCAATAAAAATCTTGCCTAGGTGAGGGTTTTCCTTCTGTTGCACTGGCAGATATTATTGCACAACTTAATGCATTTTAACAAACCAGTTCTATCCTTCATTATCCTTTTCCCTCTCAGGGATAAGATGGACCCTTCAGATTGGGAAGTTTCTTTGGGCTTAAACTTCACAGGGTGTCTAAACTGAAAAGCAAAAGACAGTGCATACACAGGTTGGAGCTCGTGTGGCATTACCTGAGCTGACCTTTAATAGATTTATATGCAGGAGAGGACAGGCTTCTCTCTTGTCAGAAAACTCTTTCTCTGATAAATCTTCCTTGTTTCCTCTGTTCAAAAATAGTGCTGTGCCAACTGGCAAAAAGTCAGCTCTGTGCAATCCATCTGTGTTTTTGCAAGTGCTCATTGTGGTCAGATGCCTAATAAAATTAAGGGTAATTGGCTCTGTATGTTATGATGTATAACCTTGCTTTTGGGTTTGGTTCAAGATCATCTCAAGGACCTACAGATGCCTTCTAATACAATAAGCAGCTTGTTACTGTTTCCTTAAAACAGCACAAAAACACAAGGGGAAGGTTTTGCTTCTTTTGAAGCAATGAACTGTCCTGACTGTGTGTGATGAAGTGTAATGGCGGAACCTGGAAGTTCTGGAGTATAAACGGGAATGGGTTGGACTCTGGAGAGCTCTAGAGGGGAATATCCTGTGTGGTCACTTGTTTGTGTTCCTTGTTTGGGTCAGAGCCTCAGCTCCTGCCATGTTGCCAAATCTTGGTGTGCTTTGAGAATTTGTAGCTTCAGGCTCAGACAACTGCAGTCACTGCCCATCCCAGCACAAGGTGTTCAGTGAGCAAAGCTGTGCTGTGGGAATACTGCATTTCATGGGATGTCCCTTCAGCAGAGCAGCTTCCGTCTTTGAGGGCTGCAGAGCTGCTGGTAGAAATGTATTAAGATGTAATCAGGAGTGTAATTTTAGCTGGAAAACTGGCAGGTCCTGTTTCCTTCTTACAAGATTGAATTTGGTTTTTCTTTGGGCCTGTATTTCCAGAGGCAAAAATAGGAATCTGTAATTTGCTTACAAGTGGTTTAATCTTTCAGAGGTCACTTTAAATGTTTCTAAAAATGACTGACTTCAAAAAAATCCCGAGCAGCTGGGAATTTACTGCCTGATGTTTTTCTTTTCCTCCCCCTCCAAGTTGTCCCTAACAAGCTGTTCTTCAGGAACCTTTTGAAAGTGATAATGTGACGTGTTTGAAAACAGATTTCTGAAACTTCCTATTTCGCTCACTGTTGCTCAGAGTGGTCGGGGGTTTTGGGGAAGGTTTGTTTTATTTTGTTTTTCGCTAGTGGTAAAGACATTCAGCTCGTTACTGGCATTCTGGGAATGAAAAACTGCATCCCTGTGTTCTGCCAGGGATTTACAGCCTTCATCTGAGTCTTCACCAAGTGGCAAGCACAGAAGGGAGCTGTTGGAGAACCGAAATTAAACCGCTGTGAGAACGGGAAATGAAGAACGTCGCTGTGAGGGCTGGGCTGGAACCCTGTGTAAATTGTGCTTTTGTGTTAAATCCAGGTGTGAAGCACAAATCCTTCCTGACAGCTGAGGATTGCTTTGAGCTGGGGAAGATTGCCTACACGGAAGCTGATTACTACCACACGGAGCTTTGGATGGAGCAAGCTCTGAAGCAGCTGGATGAGGGAGAAGTGTCCTCTGCAGACAAAGTCTACATCCTGGACTACCTGAGCTATGCTGTGTATCAGCAGGGGGACCTGGGCAAGGCCATGGCACTCACCAAACGCCTCCTGGAGCTGGGTATGGGCGAGGGGCAGCCAACTGGGTGCTGGGGGAACTCTGGCTGTGCATTGTCCTGGGCAGTGTGCTCTGGGCAGTGTGCTCTGGGCAGTGTGCTCCTGCCTGTGCTCTGGGCAGTGTGCTCCTGCCTGTGCTCTGGGCTTGGCCGTGCCTTTGTCAAACGTATTTTGAGTTTTCAGATGGACAGTTAGGCTCAGCTACCACCTCAGGAGTGCTGGGGTTAAGGATTGTTCTTTTTGCCTCCCAGCACTGTTGGCTTCTAACCCCTTACCCATCTTAGTCATTATTTTCTGAAACTTACCTCTCTCCCTGTTTTTTTTTTTTACTTGCCTGGGCTGAGATTACTTCCCATTTAAGTACAGGCAAAACCAAACTGAGTGAAACTGAAACTAGAGTGATACCAAAATCTCTGCAGATGATTTAAATGCAAATGAAGCATGTTGGAGATGAAAAGCTTGGAAAAACAAGAAATACAGGATACAAGACAGCGAGATAAGAGACTGTTCTGTGAAATATGAAAGTCTTTATTGTGCTGTAAATACTTTGCTGATTGACTGTGTAAAGGAGGCACTGAGAAGCTCAGAACTAAACCTAACATAGCAAAAGCTCCTGAGAGCCATTTATCAAAGATCTGAAGCTTCTGTAAGTTTAGTGATTGTTAAAAGCTTTGTCCCCAGAAATCTTAAATCCCATCAAGGTATTGTTTAGGTTTCATGCTGTCCCAGCTCTCTCCCTGTCTCATTCCCTTGTCTCTCCCTCACTGGTGAGATGGGCTGGAAGGCCCAAACCCTTTTTCTGAGTGCTGGGACCTGCGTGTGCAGTGAGGGTTTGGGAAGCACTAGTGTGCCTCTGTTTCCTTTTGCTTCCTGTAAATAGCCACTTTGGGATAGTCCCTCCCCAGCTGGAGAGCTGCCAGTGATCCTCCCCTCTTTCCTTGTCAATAGATCCCGAACATCAAAGAGCCAACGGGAACATGAAATACTTTGAATATATCATGGCCAAAGAGAAAGAAGGAAATAAGTCCAGCACGGATTCAGAAGAGCAGGAGAAGGAAACTGAGGTTAAGAAAAAGGATTACCTGCCTGAGAGAAGGAAGTACGAAATGCTGTGCCGTGGGGAGGGGCTCAAAATGGTAAAGTGGAGTAGACTGTTCTCACATGTTTGAACCCAACCAAACAATGTCAGGAATTTGTGTGTGGTGTGGAAGCAAGGAAGTTGTTAGAGCAGCTGGATGAGTGTGTTGGATTTCTTCCCTGTTTCAGTCAGTCCAGTAGACTAAAAGTAATACTGCCACAGGCAGGGCTGTGCTGGCTGACTTGGATGTGCTACATCAGTGGGATTAATTGAGTAAGGATGGTGGAAGTCTAGAGTTACTTAGAGAATTAAATAAGGGTGGTTTTTTAGTGAGAAAATTACTTTAATAGGACTATGTCAAGTAATGCTTGTTGAAGTATTACACAGCAACATTCATGTGCTGACACTACTAATTTTTTTAAACTGGAAGCATCCCTTTAACCTGTCACAACAATGAGGTAGGGAAGGTGGGTTGTTCCCTTGTCTTGTCCTCAGGACATTTCTGTTTCTCGGAGATATTAATGTCCCATGGAAGTTCTCTGACCCTCTGGCTCTGCCTCCCTTCCAGACTCCTCGGAGACAAAAGAGACTCTTCTGCCGCTACTACGACGGGAACAGGAATCCCAGGTACATCCTGGGCCCTGTCAAGCAGGAGGATGAGTGGGACAAGCCCCGGATCGTTCGCTTCCTGGACATCATCTCTGACGAGGAGATCGAGACCGTGAAGGAACTGGCCAAGCCGAGGGTAAATGCCTTATGCTCCTTTGCCTTTGGAATCTGAAAATCCATGGGGGTAAATGCCTCATGCTCCTTTGCCTTTGGAATCTGAAAATCCATGGGGGTAAATGCCTCATGCTCCTTTGCCTTTGGAATCCCAAATTCCCCGTGTGCTTCCTGTGTGAGTGGGTGTGATGTGTCCTGTGGCAGGCAGTGCCCTCACACCTCGCTTTCCTCACCCTGCAGCTCTTGGTGACGCTCTCTGCAGGAGATGGTGGGGAAAGCTGGGAATGCTGTGTGATGGGCAGGGCCAGCTGACAGCAGGGCAGGGCTGCCAGGCTCTTCCAGCAGGCACGATTTCAGCACACACTGATGTTCTCCAGCAGAAAACAAACATGCTGCAGCTAGGGTGCCTTGGAGTATTCCTGGTATTTGCTGGGGTGTCTGGCTTTTGCTTTTTCCTTTAAAGTCTGGAGAAGAGTACTGTCTAGGGAAAGGCAGCCTTTCTTCTGCTCCTGGAATGCCACCTTATTGTGCAGACAAGAAAGAATGGTTGTAGTCTCCATTTTGGTATAAAACTGGCTGCTGTCTCCTAGGCTTGGAAGTTGCCTGCAGATGAAAGACCTTTAAGAGGGCAGGGCTTAATTGGTGATATTTGCCTTCTTATTGACTGTGGTGGCTCTTGAACCCTGTTCCAGACACTGGATGCAAAGATGCCTGTTTCTGAGTGCAGACAATAATCAAGGAACAACTGGCCATGGCACTGAGTGCTCTGGGCTGGGGGACAAGGTGGGGATCGGGCACAGGTTGGACTCGATGACCTTGGAGGCCTTTTCTAACCTCAGTGATTCTTTTCTGTGATTCCTGAGAGGACAGTCTGAACTGTAAGCAGGAAGTACAAGCTTTTTCACTTCACTGTGAGGCATCTCCTGCTCTCCTGGCAGGCAGCTTTGCTGCAGGGCTGAGACTCAGAGCCCTGTGTGTTGGGCTGTAGGTGGTTGAGCCCCTTCAGTGCTGCAAAAGCACTGGCACTGTGTCTGTGGAATATGACCAGATCACTTCCTTAGGGAGCAGAAAACCTGTGGATGTGGTCACTGTAAGTTCTGGACTTGCTGAGGTCGTTGTTTTCCTGTCAGACATTTGGCTCATGGCAAAGACAGAGATCCACATTAATGTCATTAATGCAGGAGCATCTGTATGTGGCTGTCGTTCCACGTGTTCCCTACGGCCGAGGCCTTACACAGCTCAGCAGCCAGAAGGATTGTGTTTCTGGAGACTGAAAGGTCATCTCATTCCCAGTGCTTGGGATGCTGCCATCCTCTGGGATGACAGCACTGTCTGATCTGTGCTGGCATTATTCAGCTCATTATTCAGCTGTGGGAGTCTCGCTGGAATTGTGGTTTGTGCCTTGGTTTTTGTGTGTCTGCATGGGATGAGAGGAGAGGCAGCATATTAGGAGCTCCCAGTGCCTTTTCTTCTTAGTAAGTGTTGATTTACTTAGTTTAACAGTAGAGAAATACTTCTGGTTAGTCGGGACTTGGTGTTGCCTTGTGCCTCTTCCAGAATTTGGGCTCTGCACCTCAACCTCCCCAGTTACGAGAGATGGAGAGTCTGATAGAACATGAACCAAGCTAAAGGGTGCATGTAAGGTCCTGAACTGGAATATTAACACACACGGGATGGCACGAAGTAAATGGAGCACAAGAGAAGGAAAGGAAGGCCTTGAGCCAAGAGTTTCACTCTTTGTATCTCAGGAGTACAGTACAACCATGGATGAAGCAGTAGTTTGTGTGAGCACAGAAGAGTTCAGTGCTGCTTTTGGTACAGGAAGAACCCAAAAAGGAAGGTTTATTCATCTTTGGTTTGTTGAGAATGATGGTGCTGCCTGGATCCACTTTACCTGTGAAACTCCTTGTGCTCTGTGCCGGACAGAGTAACAAAGCACCAGGTATTCACCTGCCACAGCACTGTGCTGCTCCAGCAGCTGCTGCAACGCAAAGGGAACGAAAGCCTCTAGTTTGCTCTATTCAGCAGCTGTTCTCCTTGCTGCAGGCGTGGAAACAGGACTTCTGGAAAACCTGATCTTCTCTAACACTAAAAAAAACCAACCCCAAACAGGACCCCCCCTGTTTTTAGTGAGAGTGGCGGCTGCCCCCGGTTCCCGGTGAGGCGAGCACGGCAGTGCCGGGGCAGTGGCAGTGCCGGGGCGGTGGCGCGGCGGCTCCGGGCGTTATCCCCCCAGGCTTCTGAGGGTCGGATTGCTGGGATGCAGATTGTGCTTGTAATGCAACTGTTCTGATGGTTCGCTTCACAGCTGAGGCGAGCCACCATTTCAAACCCCATAACGGGAGCCTTGGAGACGGCACATTACAGAATTAGCAAAAGGTAAGAGAGCTCCGTGCCAGAGGTCTTGGGCCTGGAATGAGTGTGTACGTCCTGCTCTTTATGGGGAGACAAGAGGTGGGCTAAAGAACAACCGTGGAGTCCACCCTGCTGTTCCCTGCAGATCCATGACAGGCTGTTCCTGCTGAGTTTCTCAGTCTTTTCCTTCAGCTGGAAGTTCTGGGGGCGTGTTTTGATTTGTTCTCTTTCTTTTTCGGGCGCCTTCTCGGTGTGTGTTTTCCAACAGTCAGGTCTCTGCAGTCAGTGTGAAAAACATGTGATGTTACAAAGTCTTCAGTAAAACCTGGAGTTTGGTTTTAATTTATATATTCCTTTCCCCTTGCTCTTCTCACCAACCAAGAGTTGTCCTCCCCTTCCTTGGAAAATGTGTAGTGCCTTTACATGTGTAAGAGATGCTTTGAGTCCTTGTTGTGCGCGCACGCACACACACACACACACACACACACACACGCACACACACGCACACACGCGCACACACGCGCACACACACACGCACACGCACGCGCACACGCGCACACGCGCACACGCGCACACGCGCACACGCGCACACACGCGCGCACGCACACACACACACACACACACACACACACACACACACACACACACACACACACACACACACACACAGCATTTCCTTGTCCAGGATAATCCCATACTCCCTGCTGGGCTCCTTTACCTCCTGCCTGACACAAATCTGGCTCGTTTTCACCAGGCTCCTGGTTCTTTTCAGCTTGTCTACTAAGTACTGCAAGTATTGAATTTAGCCAGCCTTTTCCAAAATTGGCTGGATCTGAAAAGCCACCTGCCCCTGCTTGCCCTCCCCTGGTTTTAGTTGTGTTAATTAAAAGATTGGCCATGCACACCATCAGGAAGGACTTACTTAAACTTCTGGGTGGAGAGGAATTGTCTGGGAAACTCAGCATCAGAAATTACTCGCAGAAAGTCTTAGTTAAAACCAAAAAAAAAAAAAAAAGGAAAAAAATTTAGAAAGGGAGGAAAAAAAGTGAAAGGACAATCTAACCAAATTTTTCCAACCAATTTGGTGCAATTTGAACACAGCAGCTGCAGCTTCTGTTGCCCTCCCAACCTGGCTAATTTGTGAGCTTTGCATCCGGAGCAATCGGAACCCTCTGGAAGCCCTGGGGTTGGCAGAGCGCAGCCTGCGAGGTGGGTAAGCCTTGTCCTTTCTCTTTTTGTAGCTGAGCCGGGCTACTGTGCATGACCCCGAGACTGGCAAACTGACCACAGCACATTACAGAGTCTCGAAGAGGTAAGGGAGCGTCTTCCAAGGGATTCCCTGGCCGAGGAAGGCTGTCCTGGGGCTGTGCTGCTTCAGCGCTGAGCGTGAGGGGCAAGGATTTGGCGTGACCTCTGTTCCTAAGCCTTTCTTTAGAAAGGGGCCTAAGTGAGCTGAGCTGGCATGTAACACAAAGCACGTGGCCTGCTGGAGTAGGGCTTGGTTGGAAATGGTGGTATTCCAAGGTGGAAGTGCCTTTGGCTGAGCATGGCTTGTCTGCTCCAACTAACGTACTAAACGTGAGCGCGAGCTCCGCTGCTGCTCCTGCTGCAACAGGGACCTGCCCGGCTCACCTCTGCTCCTAAACTTCCAGATATCCACACCTGCTTGAAACCAGGAGCTGCTGGGATTCCTGGGAATGCTGCAAGTTAAAGCTAGGTGGTGGTTGTCAAGGATTTCCCTGTTGACATGATGGAATGCAGTTGCTGCTTTACTAGAAACCCAGTGTTCTCTCAGCTGCTCTGAAATTAGAATGGTCTGTAGCTTGAGGGCTTTTATTGAGCTATGAATGTCTTTAAAAAGGTAAAATTGCTTCCAAATAGTGGATCATAGGAAGGTGATTGATTCAGGAGTGATTGATTATAAGTCTTAGAAAAACTGGGAAAACCATTGGAGCTGAGGTCAGATCCTAAGGCCACCGTTGTTAAAAGTTGGAAACGTTAATTTTTATCCTTTGAAAATTGCCTTGCACCTCTGGAGCATGTGGGTCTAGGTGCTCATGGGCACACACAGGTAGTGGGAATCCTTTGGAAATGGTCTGTTTGCTCCTTAAAACTTCCCCCCACAGGGCCCCCTTCCGGAGGGACTTGACTTTAGGAACATTTGTCTTCCTGTTGGACATGTGTTACATTTAAATTTTATTTTTTTACTTTTAATATTCAAGTCTTGTCCATGTCTCATCTACCTTGGTTGTTTGTCACTGCATATTTTAAAGGCAGCATTTATTCAGTCCTGGGATTTGTCCTCTGTGCCAGCCAGCTCTGGGGCATTGCTGAGGAACCTCCCTCACCTCCTCATGGTTTCTGTGCTAATATTGGGAGTTGCAGGAGCAGATCACTGATGGAAATTGGGATGCATAATTGCCCCCTATTTAAATAGATGAGCTTCAGTAAAAGAAGTTTTGATTTAGAGTTGTGATTTTTCATCAGTAGAAGTGTTATGCCCTGAGGTATAACACAGGCACAGGCAGAAAGAACAGTACAAAGCACCACCCAGCATGAAAAGCCAATGGAAAACCTGGGATAGAGCCTCCTGGCCAGCTCCTGGGGAATGGGACCTTACTTAGGGTTTGGTGCTCAAAAAGGTGGCACTGTGGGACTTCCTACCAACACACCTAAGGAACTCTCCAGTCAGACTTTGCTAAGTTCTTAAATCCAGTCTCTCACTGGACCCCGGAATTAGAATTGTGAAGAAACATCCAAGAATTTAGGGAAGACCATTTCTTGAGGGTGGAGGGGAACTGCCCTTGTCCTGCTTCCCCTTTGCATTCCTCCATGTGCAGATTTCCAGGATGTGTATGGACATTCCAAGAGAACTGACACCTAAATCCAGAGCAGGAGGTAGAATTCTCCTCCAGAGCCCAGGGCAGCCTGATTTAGAGGGTCTGTTTTAGTCCTGCTGGGAACATCTTTCTGTTGGAGCTGCTTGAGCTGGTTTGGATTCCGGATGAATCATTGCTCCTGAAACCCAAAAAAAATGCTTTATTTTTTTTACTAGATGACTGCTTTCCCCCTTCAAACATTCCTTCCTAGCAAATGCCCTCCCAAATTACAGCATTCCTGTCTCTGAGAGCACCACTGTTCCCCTGGTGGGACGTGGCAGGCTCTGTCAACGGGGGCACCTCGCCAGCACCACCAGAATAAACCCACCCACTCACACACTGCTTGCAAAGATAAAAAACTGCCTTTTTTTTCCCCTCTCCCTCTCCTCCCAGCAGGCAGCCAGAGCTTGTAGCACTAGTGGTAAAGTTTCCACTGCAGAAATACCAGTCTGGGCTTTCATTCGCTCCCTAGTGCGTCTCTACTGGTACTTGTTTTTACATATTAAGTGCATTTGAGAAGGCTTTTAAACAGAAATGCTGGTATTTCGTGGCCAGTGACTCACAGGAGCAGTGTTGAAATGTAATGTCTGCTCCTACAGTGACCAGAGCTGAGATTTTGGGGGATGTGTGTGCTGTGGAGAACTGGCTGTTGTTTTTTTTTCCCTGTAGTATGTCGCTTAGTCCAAAGTGATTTCTCTATATAAAAATTGTGCTATTAAAAACCTTTAAGGTACCTCATGCAGAATTATAAGACATTTTTTGTGGCTGCCCCATCCCTGGAAGTGTCCAAGGCCAGGTTGGACGGGGCTTGGAGCAACCTGGGCTAGTGGGAGGTGTCCCTGCCCATGGCAGGGGTGGGATGGGATGAGCTGTAAGATCCCTTCCAACCCAAACCATTCTGGGATCCTGTGAGAAAATGTGATTATTCCTATCTGTTTGTAACAAATATAAGTTGTTAAAAGCCAGATGTGGGTGTGAGGAAGAAGCAAAGCAACCCCCCCAGTGGGAATTCAGCATGGTAATGAAAGTATCTCTTTTTTTTAAATAGTGTATTGCCTTAGTGCAGGGATGTGTTTTTACAAAACCAAGTGGGTCAGAAAACACCAAACCTGTGTGGGCAGAGAATTGGGGGTGGTAGTTATTAAGGAAATACCAACTCCTCCTGTAAGTAAATCACTTGTATATTGATCTGCCCTGCCTATGGCTTCCCAGAAATCAGCTTGTCCCTCTTTTGTGAGGAATTTCTCTGCCCACAGTGGACTCAGAGGTGGCAGCTGGTCATGAATGTGACAGAGTGCCCATGAACCTGTCAGATGAAGTTGCTGATCTGCCAGATGTATGTGGAAGGGCAGAGCTGTGTGCATGTGCTGACTTACACTGAACCCTGAACTGTGCAAATATTAGAAGAAAAAGGGTTGCTGAGCACCCTTTCAGGCTGTTAATGCTGCATCTCCCACAGCACTGGTGAGGGGAGTCTGTCTCTTCTTTGATAGACAAGGGCAGGAAACAGCCTCCTTTGTGCGAGGAAATGGTCTGAAATGAGGCAGAGATGTCAGCAAGGGACCAGGCCGAGATGCCAGGGGAGGGAATGTGGGACAGATGGGAATATTCTGTGACCAGGCAAAGCAGGTTTTGTGACACTTAGCGGGTTAAATCCCACTGTAACTCCTCAGCACTGCAGGCCTCCCCCAGCTCTGCTCAGCAGACAGGCTGGCACTTGGATTATGGTTTCAGTTCCCTGTTCCTCCACCTTTCATAGACTTCCTTTGTATCCTCAGGCAATTAATTTTATTTTTAAAATACGTGCAGTATTTCCCTTCCTGAAAGGCTGCAGTATTCTCCCTGTGGAAGCATTCACTGCTACTCTAAATAACCCACACACCAGGAATGCTTGGGGTTTGTCTTCCTTTGGCCTGTTTTTTTCCCTTTTTTCCCCTGTAAGCTCTTATACCCAGACTGGACAGAAGCAGATGGAGCTGGTGGGTGTGTTGGGGCTTTTTCTGTGTGTGTTAAATGTGAGGTTAGGATTGCTTGTGAGCATTCCCTGTTCACCGTGGCTGCAGAGCACGGCTGCTTTTTGGGGGGCGGTTTATTTGGCTTCATAAGCACCTACATATCCTTCCACCACCTGAAATCCAGGCAGGTTGTGCTGTAACCCCTCCTTGTACTAACAGTGCTCAGAAATGGATGGGTCTGTGGCTGTGTTTGTGCATGTCTGCCTTGAGAAATCTTCTTTCTTTTTATCTGTGGTTCATTTGGCATTTAAAAAATGCTCATAGAGATTCTGTAACCTGTGTCAGTGCCTCGTGTCCTGTGTCATGCTACTGTTCCTCCCAGGAGAGGGATTTGGGGATTATAATATTTTTTTAAATGCAAATTAAAGAAGAAAAACTTAATTTAGTATGGATGAGAAGGTGCATTTGAATAAAAATACTATGATGCTGCTGCTGCTGATAGTTTCCAGCTGAGCACAGGGACTTCCCTCCAGCAGGAACCACTGATGAGCCCTAAAGCTGAGTCAGCTGCTGGAAAAAGAGGTAGAACTACCTGTCTCCATTTTCCTGCAAAAAAGGGGGAAAATGAGCCCCAAATCATCATAATCATCCATATTAATGACTAGCAAGGGCTGCAAGGTAAACAGAGGACAGGTAAAATGAAGGTGGTATGGGACAAGTAAAGCAGCAAGAAAACCAGACATCAGGTGAGCAGGTGATAAAGAGAAAAATGCAGTATTTTTAGCCAAGAAGTTCTAATATATAGCAGGAGGCAAACATTTTGAAAGATGCCTTTGGAACTGTGAGGCTGACGTTTATATTTTTAAAAAAAAAAGGGTTGATTTGAGGGTTGGTTTTTTTTCCCCTTGAAAATCATTTGCCTGAAGCAGGTGCTAAATAGCAAATCTGTAGTAGGTTGTTCTGGTAGAAATTGTTCCGTGGGGAACATGGGAGAGAACTGAATGCATGACTACATTGTTTTCAGAAGGGTTTGCAGTGGGATTGCCCAGGTGAGTGGTGTGACAGGGCAGCTCACACGGTGCTGTGCCGTGGGGAGGAGCCGAGTCCCAGACACACAGAGAAGGAGAGCAGCTCTCACCTGTGCCTTTGCCAAATGTTGCTTGCAAATTCATCACTTGTGGGGGCTGAATTCACTGTAAGAGCAAAGCTGTTTGTGCCTGGTTTAGAAAACAGCTAGAAGCAGATTTTCACTCTTTGGAATGTTTCCTTCTGTCACTGGGCAGTCAGAGCTCCCTTAGAGCAGTGCTCCGAGTGTTCTTTCTCAAGAATGCGGTCACTGAAGTCAGGGCTGTTGCAATACAGAGATATTTCTTGAGAAGTCCTAGGAAGGTCATGTCGAAGTGTAAGTCAGTGCCAGTGTTTGCTGTCCTGCTGTGCACTGCCTGTTACTGTCACATCTCCCTGGTTGTCCCCCCAGTGCGTGGCTGTCAGGGTACGAGAGCCCCGTGGTGTCCCGGATCAACACGAGGATACAGGACCTCACCGGGCTGGATGTGTCCACAGCAGAGGAGCTGCAGGTAATTCTGGGGATGGGTCTGGTGCTGGACGTCAGTCAGCACTTCATTTTGGGTGGCTCAGGTGGCACAAAAGCTCCTTTGTTTACAGAGGGGCAAGAAACAAAGGTGTGTTTGTAGAGCAGCTCTTCAGTGGGAAATGGCTTTTGGTGCTGGAGGGGAACAACCAAACCTGAGCTTCACTGCTGTAGGGTCCAAAAACTTTGCTGCTGAGATGGGAGTTCAGCTTGACTGGTACTTAAGGAAGGCCAACAATGTGTCTGGTGTCCCTGGCATGTGGGAAACAGTGGCTGTAGGTGTAAATGGTAATTCAGAAGTGCTTTGGTACATTTGCTTGAGGCCTTTGAAGGAGCAGCTGCTTTACTGACTGTGAGCAAAGTGTGAGTACCTGGAAAGCAGGACACCCAGACGGGGCTGGAAGCTGCTGTGCCCCTGTCAAGACTCCTGGGGATAAAATGCCCCAGGATCTGGCTGAAGTTCAAGGTTTCTTTCTTTATAATCAACTGGCAAGCAGGAGAGGGGATCCTCTTTATTGACATGAAGTAGTTTATACATGAACCATGTCAAAGCACCGTGACAGGTTTTGAAGAGAACAGAGGCTGAAAAGCTGCCACAGAGAAAAAACCCTTTTGTGCCCTGGGAAGTACCAGATTCTCACCTGGAGCTGCATCTTGCAGTGCCGGTCTTGGATGTGCTGCTGCTCCTGGAGGTGACAGAGGCTTGTCACTCCCTGGGGCTTGGTGTTTGCCACTGACCCATTGAGAAGCTGTGGCTAACAGTCACAGTCTTGCTGGATAAAACTGCTTTACTAGAGCTTGTGCTTCTCCTCTCACTGTAGGTAGCCAACTACGGAGTAGGGGGCCAGTATGAGCCTCACTTTGATTTTGGAAGGGTAAGTCCTGTTCTGTCTTCACCTCCTTCTTCTTCACAAGGGCTGTTGTTGTTTCTCTTTTGCAGGTGGCAAATTATGGAGTGGGAGGACAGTATGAGCCCCACTTTGACTTTGCACGGGCAAGTACAGAGCGGGAGGAGAGCAGTGACCCGGGGCAGCCTCGGCCTCTGGCCCGGCCCAGCCTCTTCTTCACTGGCTGGCACACTCTGTAGCTCTGCCCAATCCCTGGCAGGGCAGGGAGCCCTGGGGATCACCAGCTGTGCCAGTCGGCAGGGTTACCACTCCTCAGGGCATTCCTACTGCTTTAGGAACGGGGCCCTTTGCCTCTCTCTTTTCCTCTTTCTTTCCCTCTTTATTTCCTTCCTTCTTTCTTTCTTTCCTTCCTTCTTTCTTTCCTTTCTTCCCTTCCTTCTTTCTTTCCTCCCTTCTTTCTTTTCTTTCTTTCTTCTTTCCTTCCTTCTTTCTCTCTTTCTTTCCTTCTTTCTTTCTCTCTTTCCTTCCTTCTTTTCCTCCCTCTTTCTTTCTTTCCCTTTTTTCTTTTGTCAGATCTGCCCCAAGCAGTGACAGTATTGCTGTGTGAGAACCTTTGATTCCATGGAGATGCTCAGCAGTAGTTGGTGACCCTGTGCTCTCTTTGGTGCTCCTCGCAGGCACCATCCCCTTCTGACTTAGAGTTGCCTGCTGATGGCTCCTTTTCCCTTTCCCTTCCCTTCCCTGAAATTTCCTTTCCTTTTTCCTTTCATTTTCTTTCCTTTTTCCTTTCCTTCCCTTCCCCACTTGTATTTACCTGATTCCAAAGCAAAGGGTTGATCATTTCTTCTGCCCAACCCCAAAGTCTCAGCCACTCCCTGTCATTGGCTCCTCTCAGCAGCACAGAGGAAGTGCTGATGGACTCTGCTTCCTTTTGTTCACAGAAAGATGAGCCAGATGCTTTTAAGGAATTGGGAACAGGCAACAGAATTGCTACTTGGTTGTTTTATGTAAGTCACACCTCGTGTCCCTCCCCATTCTGTGCCACTGAGGATTTCATTCTCCTTTCTGTTCATTCCGGTTTTTGCTGCAGTCACTTCCCACTCAAGCAGCCCCAAACTCTGGGGTCCTGTTGTCTTCCTCCCCAGACCATGTGGTCCTTCCATGTGCTGGAAGGAGGATTTTGCTCCCTACAATTACTTGCCTGGCTGTTCATTTCTGTATCTCCATCAGTATTATCAGCCTGTGAACTGCAGTGGAGGGGGCAAGGCTGGGGTTCCACTGGGACCACAGCGGGAGGGTTTCAGCCTCTTTCAGGGAGGTGTAAATTAACTTCTTCAATAACCCGACTCTGTTTTACTGAAACATGAGAGACCCCGAGGCTGTGTGAGCTCACCTGTGTTTCCCACCTGTGCAGATGAGTGACGTGTCAGCAGGGGGAGCCACGGTCTTTCCTGAAGTCGGAGCCAGCGTTTGGCCCAGAAAGGTGAGCAGGGATTTCTCTGGTGGAACTGCCTCTCTACACCTCCTCAAAGTACAGCACAGGCATGAAAGAAGCTTTAAATGAACCTTTAAAAGAAGGAAAATCCCAGCCCTGTTCATGGCAGCACAGAGGTTCAGAGCAGTGCTGGTGATTCCAAGGGCCCCCACATTCCCTGTGTTACATTTGGAACTTGGCTGCTTCTAATGCACAGACTCTGCAAAACATTACAGTGCTTTGAAACACATCCTGAAAACATTCACATCTCTTAAGTTGCTTTAGTCTTGAGGCATCTGTAGGGAATTCTCCTTGGAATGTCATGTTCCTGTTAGGTTTTTCCCTCAGTAGGGTCTCAAATAAGGTCTACCTTGGCTGGCCTCCTGCTCCTTCTTAGTAAATAATCTTGCTTTCTAAAACTGGTCAGGACTTCAATGACACTGTCCTGGGGTTTAAAAAATAATTAAGAGCCAAGTATTACACGGACACAAAATAAGTCAAAGGAGACTCATTCCTAAGGAAGCAAATGTTAGACTGTGGAAAAGGGCCTCCAGCGTAAAAGAATCTGAAATACAAATGCACTTACCTTTGCTTTATCCTTAAGTGAATTGGTGTTTAAGTGTGTGTTGTGCAGAGCAGAATGCTGAGGGTGTCCCCTGCCATTCCCAGGGAACAGCTGTGTTCTGGTACAATCTGTTCCCGAGCGGAGAAGGCGATTACAGCACCCGGCACGCGGCCTGCCCGGTACTAGTGGGGAATAAATGGGGTGAGTACCTGCCTGGGACCCCAGCCTGGGCCTGGGAGGGAGCCTTGCCTTGCTTTTCTTTTTCCTCTGGACTTCAGGGTGGGATAAAAAGCACCCAGAAATGCAGTTCTTTATAAAGAAGTCTATTTAATTTACTTTATCTACTTCATCTCTGTACATTACAGATATTCTAGATAGCAGCATATTTTATTATATGTATAAAATACCTGTACAACTGTATCTCTTTTAAGAGTCTTCTGTAGTTTTGCAGGGAAGTTTTTTTCCTTCTTGTATTTATTAAACCAACTTCACATTTGTGCATAGCAGGGGGTTGGAAGGAGATGATTTTAATGTCCCTTCCGACCCAAACCCTGTGATTCCACAACTAAAACACTTTAAGAAACTAAGGTAATGCTGTGCTTAACTGACAGCACATTTACCTTCAGCAGGAGCTCCCTACATGCAGTGATCCCATCCCTTTGTGTCTTTGCAGTATCCAACAAATGGCTCCACGAGCGGGGGCAGGAATTCCGAAGGCCGTGCACGTTATCGGAGCTGGAATGATGCAGAGCCGTCAGTCCCTGGAAAATGCACATCTCCAGCAGTTTACAACTGACTAACACTCCACTCCAGGTTCAGTCGCCCCCAGCTGTGGACAGGACAAACGTGCTTTTAGTTCCCTCCCAGTACCCTCCCAAGGTTTTATAAACAGAAAATATTGAGGTTTACGAGTGTTACCGGGAAAAAAAAAAGGACAAAATACAGATGAGGGCCACAACTAACTGTGGTGTTGTGTGTGGTGTTCCTGTCACCATCATCCCTCTGAGCAGTGTGGGAAAACAGGGGTGATGTCATGGGAGGGCTCCCCTCTAAGGAACTCTGAGTTAAACCCATTCCTATTCCTCAATTCCCAGACATTCAGCTCCTTGTTTTCCCAGAGTGCCTGACCACTGCTGTTGAGAACTGCAGGCATCCTTTGTGTTTCTCTGGAAAACAGGTTATTACCACGTTTTAACCTGTTATCCCACTTGCACAAAAGCCCCACAGTTTTAAATTGTCTTCCTTCTTGGCCCCTGTGGGGAATTTGGGTTCTAATCTTGACACCATGAACCAGCAGTTCCACAGGCATGGCCAGGATGCTTCCCCAGTGTTGTGCCTGTGTCAGAGCAGCTTGACAACACCCACAGCCCACCTTTCCCCACCTCTGGAATGTTTGTCCACGTGAACAAATGCTGCTTTTGTTCTGTCCCAGCAGCCAGCTCTTCCATCTGCTCCTCGGGCAGGGGGGTGGGCACGTTCCCACCTTCATTAATCAAAATAGTCGTGCCTTAGGAGGCTGGAATTTCAAATTGGTGAAGAGACTTCAGGTGCTGAGGTGACACAGAGTCCTCACAGAATGCTCTCCACCCTCATCCTCCTCACAGCTCTCAAGGTTTCCTGAGAAACTGTCACCCTATTTATTTATAGTCCTGACCCTTCTTTAGATGCAGGCTCACTGTCATGAACCCTGTCCCTTCCACAGCAGGATTTTTATAGCAAAATAACCAACTACTCCACTAGCATGAGGGCAAAAATCAAAGGGAGCTGCACCTGACTCTACCTAAATAGTCCAATTTTCTGGATGATTATGGTTTTACTGATTAGGGGTGAAGCCTGAAGTCTTTGCCAAGGAAAAAATTCCTATTTTGGTTAATTGGGTTTTCTGCCTCAATAAAGTCTTGAAAATTGAGCCGAAACGTAGACAAAACCAATTGTTAATGTGCTAGAAATACCTCTGGAATACTGGGAATGCAGTTTAAGGTACTATAGTTGGAGGATCAGAAGACACTTTAAGGTCTTTGCTGGAAAATACATTGTTAAATTCCTGCTGAGCCTGGTAGCAATGGGGCCCACAGAACTGCTCCTCCTTAGCCCTGCCCCTCCCTGCACTGTGCCTGTGCTTTTGGCAGAGGGGAACCAAAGTCCATCCAGCACCTCAGGACACAAACACAAAGTCTCACATCTGTACTGCTCCTTTATTCCAGGCAGCTGCTCCCCAAGAGCAGCAGCTGATCTAAAGGAATTCACCCCGGAGCTGGGTGAGCAGAGGGGATCTTTGAGCACTACATTGTAATAATTAAAAAAACTGCAACATAATATTTCCACCTACCTGAGTTTTCTCCCTTTTTTGTCCATCTCCATTCCTATCCATGGTCTTCTTTTTTTCTCTTCCCATCTTTTTTAGTTTCATAAGCTCCATGGCTGCAGGTAACTCCTGCCACTTCCCTGCAAGTAAAAAAAGGATGCATAAAAAAAAGGTATCCATAAATGCTTGCAGGAAGCCAATCCCACACAGTGAACAAGCACAAAAGGAAATCCCTGTGCTGCCACCATGAACAGAGGTGGAAAACAGCATTTAGGTTTGCTATTCCCATCTCCCTTCAACCAACACCCAAGGATTAACCACAAGCTGGAGCTGAGGAATTTTGCTCAACAGCTCCTTCCCTCACCTCAATACCAGCGAGTACTTCCAGTGATAAACACCATTTTAAGGAAGGTCTCTCAGAGACATTGCCTGGGGAGTGAAAATGGTTTAGTGCACAACTTTTTAAAGCAGTAAACTACTCCAAGAAAATTCTTCAGGAAAGAAAAATAATTTGTCTTTTGACATTGGAAAATTTCACTTGATTGAAAAAAAAAAAAAAGCCCCAAAACTAAACCTCCAGTCTGCTGAGGCACATCAGGAACGTCCCAGATTATGACAAAAGGTCATTTGGTATTTTTCAACTGCAGACAATCCCCATTTCTACTCCCTCTACTGCAGTAGTGTCCATGCATCCAATGCTGACTGTAAGGGATTCCACTGGTGCTGCTGCTTTCTGTCTTACCCCCATCATTTCTCAAAGGGCTTTTGGATCCTGAGCGTGGCTCCCGTGTGAATCTAGTTTTGTATTAAGGATGATTGAAAACTGTTTGGCTCACAGTGACTGACAACTGAGAAACTGCCTTACTGTTACTTTTTTTTTGTAATAAAATTTTTAATGTAAAAAAAAAGAAAAAAAAAGAGAACAGGCTTCAAATAAAAGCCACTGCCATCAGCAGTGAGAAATCCTCCACATCCAGCTCTCCTGTATGTGGCTGCTGTAAATCTCATCACACAGGGATTTATCACTGTCTGTGGAAGATGGAGCTCATCTTCCTCCCTTCACCACCTTGGGGGGCAGGTGCAGGAGATGCTCCTGTCACAAATTCCTGTTAAATGTTACACTTTGGGCACTGAAGGACTGCATAAGGGGAGGGCAGACAGTGCTGGGCCCAAAGCACCTTGTGCCTAAAAATTTAGGGCAAGGAGGTCTTGGGGAGGAGTGTGGCCCAGCCTTTGTCTCCCCAGGGCAGTGGTTGGTGGCAGAAGCTGCTGTGGGGTTCAGTAACCACGTGAGATCTGGGGCTGGAACACCACAGGCATAGCAGAGGAGCACATGCTCAGAGACCCTTTCCCAAGGTTGACAAATCTGTTTCCTGAAGCCCGAGGTCAAACAACCACTTGCTCTGGATAGTTGGGGGGGGGGGGAAGAAAGCACCAGAGACTCCAACAGCACCACAGGAAGACCAAGCACTCACGTGTAGGAAGGTTAGGCTGACATCTTCCTTATCCAAACCCTCAGTGGTTTATAGACCACAGCCATTCCTGGGCTTCACCCTCGGGAGCAGTGGAGCTCCTGCTTAATTCGTGGCCATCAGGAACCTGCAAAAAGCACAGCAAGGGTTGGTCAGAAGCCTTTGATCCTCCTGCCTGTGGAACGGAGCCTTGTGCTGCTGATGGAGCATTTGGCTCAGGGGCAGGGAACTGCCCACGGACACAGCTGATGTGCTGGTGGATTTGGCAGCCACAGGAAAGGAAATGAGTCTGAAGTGTACCAGCGTTGGTTTATTTTGGAAAGGGGGCTGGATTCCATGCCCAGCCCCTCTGTGCTGCTGCCCTGCTCAGCAAGGCAGGCCCTGGCCCCTCCCCTGGAGGAAGGGAAGGGCGGTGGATCAGCCCTGGGACACCCTGACCAGTGCTCGGGTGCCGTGGCTTCCCACCATTCCACCTGGGGCTCTTCTGGCACAGCTGCAGCCAGAGCATGTCCACGGGGATCACAACCACAGGAGGAACCCCACCAGGGTAAGGACTGAGCAGCTGCAGCTGAAAAGGCAGGACAGGGTCAGGGATAGGGAAAAGGGCCTGTGAATGTCACAGGGCAGGGATGAAATGAAGGGAAGGGTCTGACAGTATCACACAATCCCAGAATAGTTTGGGATGGAAGGGACCTTAAAGAGCATCTCATCCCACCCTCTGCCATGGGCAGGGACACCTCCCACTAGCCCAGGTTGCTCCAAGCCCTGTCAACCTGGCCTTGGACACTTCCAGGGATGGGGCAGCCACAGCTTCTCTGGGCAACCTGTGCCAGGGCCTCCCCACCCTCCCAGCCAAGAATTCCTTCCCAATATCTAAACCTGCTCTCTGTCAATTTAAAACCATTCCTCCTTGTCCTGGCACTCCATCCCTTGTCCAAAGTCCCTCTGCAGCTCTCTTGGAGCCCCTTTAGGCACTGGAAGGGGCTCTAAGGTCTCCATAGAACTTTCTCTTTTCCAGGCTGAACAATCCCAATTCTTTCATCCTTTCCTCCATCCCTCTAATAACCTTGGTGCCTCCTCTGGACTGGCTCCAGCAGCTCCATGTCCTTGCTGTGCTGTTCCCCAGGGCTGGAGGCAGCTCTGCACGGGGGTCTCACCTGAGAGGCAGAATCACCTCCTATGGATGGGGGAAGGCAGCACAGGGCTGAAGGGACCTGTTCAGGGACTCCTGGAGAGACTGGACCTGCTCACACACTTGAGCACAGCCCCCACGAGGGAGAGGATCTTCACCCACCCACCCATCTTCCTCCAGCTGCTGGACTCTGACCGACTCAGCCTCGGGTATTTCATCATCATCGAGCTGCACTTCTCTGTTCCCATAATCAGTGACTCATCTGGCTCCCAACCCAGCCTTTGGAGCAGCCACGGATCACCCACTAACCTGAACCACAAGCTGCCTCTTCCCTGTGCTAAACACCGACCAGCAACCCCTGGAGCCATCCAAAGCCCACGGAAGAAGAGCTCAGTGCCTCAATCCCACATCCCCAGCAGGACACCAAGGGAAGGATCCCGGCATAGCACAGACCTGTGGCAGCGTGCTCTGAGAAGGGAATGCACTAGAGGAGCTGGAGCAGCTCCAGCTGCTCCCAGTGTGAAGCCAAGAGAGGTTTTCCAGCTCCATATGGGATGGCCTTCACTCCCCTAAGCGTGGGGGACGCAGGCGCACGCGCCCAGTGCTGGGACGGGTGTAGTCACCTCTCCCTCTGGGTACAGTCACCTCTCCCTCCCGCTGCAGGGGCTGCCAGCAGCCTGACAGTGTCCCTGGGAATGTGTGACTCACCACAGCCCAGGGCTGCTCTATATTTAAGCATTACAGAGGCAGAAATGAATGCACCGAGTCAGGAGCACGTACCCCGGGGTCAGGACAAGGTTCAGAACCCAGCTGTCAGAGTTCACAAACAGCATCTCAATCTTCAGAGAGAGCAAACCAGCACAGGGAGGGGGCATTTACAACTGCAGTGGTTCCAAGCCAGGCCTGGTACTTGCTGTGCACACCCATGTCGGGGAATTCCTCGCTGCTGCAGCTGCTCAGCAGCTCCCTGAGGGAACCGTGTGTTGCTTTTACTCAGTCCTACATTTTTCCTGGTCTTCAAATCTTAAAGTCTGGGTGCAACCGAGCTATTTGCAGCTGGACTGGAAACGTCTCAGGAGACTGGTGTGAGGAGGGGAGGAAGGAAGCAGGAGGGAGGAAGGAAGGAGAAGTGGCTCATCCCCAGGGCAGGGCACAGGGGCTGCCACGTTTTGGAAAAGCAGTTAAACTGCTTTTTATTCGCAAACCATTGCTCCAGGACAAGTGACAAACGGGCAGGAAAGTTTCTGACTCCTCTTTTCCCGGGCTTTGCACTTTGCCAGCTCCTCCCTCCCCACCCTATTCAGCTTTCCTAACTAATTCCAATTGATTTTGCAAACAGTCTGGGCTCCAGAGCCACCCCCTCCAGGCTGCATGTCCTGCTCATGACACAATTCCCTGTGGTTTGCATCCTCTGCAGTCCTGCTGCCATTTTTTTCCTCTCTGTTTGCCTTCAGCAGCACATGGATCAGGCACCAGGGACCAAGGGATGACAAAAAAAAGCTGTGTTCTGGAATTGCCTCCGGAGCAACCCTAAAAGGCTCCATATTAAAAGCATGGCACCAAGCACAGACACCCAGGGGCTCTACACATTTCCAAGCCATTCCTAAACAGTTGGTTTGCTTTTTAATTTCTGCCAGGCTGTTGGTAAGGGCTGGGAGCCCTGGGACTACAAACTGGAGTGTCAGGCAGGGCAGGGATTGAGCAGAGACACCAATGGCTCCACTCACTGAAAGACAGCACGGGACTGCTAAGCCCAATTTTCCTTGCACTGGGGCTCCCTGGCACCAAATTCCAGGGACCATTTCCACCCATGGCTGACAGATCAGTCCCCAGCATGGTCTGAACAGCAGGACAAGCCTGAGCTCTCCAGTGCTCCTGCAGGGAAATCCTCACTTCACCATCCTTTGCTTTGTGCCAGAGGTGACACAGGTGTCACAAGAGGCAGGGGCTGGCTGGTTCCCAGGATCCAGGGAACAAACTCTCTGGGAGCAACCTGGTACCTCTAGCTCAGCCCAAAACATCACCCTAATTTCTCACCAGACATTACAGTGCTCCCCCTCCTTGTCTGCAGCTTGGACACTGCCAACCGCCCTTCCCAATGCTCTCTGCATTCAGGTTTAGCTCTCAAAAGACAAAGATGGTTTGAGGTTCCCTTTGGATCTCCTGCACTCCTCACATGTTCCCCCAGCCAGTAACTGAGCCCAGGCAGTCCTGGGCCTCAGAACAGATGGAACAAAAAGGCAGCAGCTGCCTCTGGCTCCACACCATTTCACAGGAATGGGACCGACCACCTTGTCTGCTCCTCTTCCCCAATTCTCTGACTTACCTGCCTGGGAAACCAAGACTTGGCTGTGGTCCTTCCTCCTTCATCCCAAGTCTAGAGCACATCACACATGGTCATATCCAGAAAGACACAGGCACTACCACGGGGCTCTGGCCCTTCAGAAGCAGCAACACAGTGAGGCTGAATATCCTGCAATACAATAAAATGCCAGAATTGGTGTTTGTGTTTGCCATATATTTGAAAGACCTGCTGCCCAGCTCCCCCTGAGGAGCAGTGCTGTGCTGGGACACATCCCAAAAGTTTTCTGAGAGCAGCCAAAGGCTTCCCATGCCGCTTTCCTTCCCTATTCTTTATCAGTGGTTCGCCTTGTCTTTCTGCTGCTCGTGTTCATTTGATTGTTTCCTTTTTAAGGAGTAATTTCCTTGAACTGTCCATCAGCTGTGCAGGGCCCTGGGTCCTGGCAGGGCAGTCCCACCCCAGAGCCAGGACCTGCAGCTCCCCTACAAGCCCCTTTCCTGGCTCAGGTTTTGGTGCCAGCCCTTCCTCACTCCGGGTCAGCAATGCTGTGTGTTTAATTTGGCAATGTTGGCATTCCATAGGAGCTGTAACATCAGCCTTCAGGAGCCACATCAAAGGCAAATACTCATCTACAACACTGATACTGAAGTGGAGGTGATGCCAAGGAATTGCTCCAATGCAGTGTTTGTAATCCCAAACTATTCTAAATTGCTGGATCAACCCCTCTGGGGCTCTGTGGTCCCACAGGGTTTGCTGGGAGCAGCTAAGCTGGGTCTCATCCCACCCCATCCCGTGCCCAGGAGGCACTGGGAAAAGGCAAGGGGTGCTCCTCAGTGTGCTGATCTACTGCTTGGGCAGCAGCAATTTTGGACAGAGATACCCATCTCCCAACAGGCTGGGGAGGGAGTGGGGTGGCCTTAAGGGGCAGGTGGAGGGTCCTGGGCAGACAGGCCCCACTCAGCTCCCTAGGGAGGGGTCCCTCTTGGGGAGCTGGAGCCCTGGTGCCACAGGAGCTGAGCCTGTTCCAGCGGGATTATACAAACTCACACCTCTGTGAGGTGAACTTGGGCCCAAATCCCGGCACTGCACTTTGCTCTCCGACTGCAGTGACCTCATGCCGGCTCCCCGGCAGTGTCTAAAGTCCAGGGAGGGGGTGCTTACCCGCCTCCCACCCAGGGCAGCTCGATCCCACTGCTCCCTGCTCCCGAGCTGGACTGCAGCATGAGGCTGCTGCTCCGGGCAGCGCTGCTGTGCCTCTGCCTGGGGCCGGGGCAGTGCTCCGAGGGGGCAGCACGGGAGAGCACCGGCCACCAGGACCCACAGGAAGAGTCATCCTACTCCGACTGGGGCATCGACACCATCCGGGACGGCTTCGAAACGGTCAACAGCTACTTCGACTCCTTCCTGGAGCTGCTCGGGGGGAAGAACGGCGTCTGTCAGTACAGATGTCGGTACGGTGAGTGCCCTCACTGCTGCTGGCTCCCTCTGCTTCCCTGACCACAGCCAGCTCTGCTCTCCGTGACCTGCCCCTGCTGTGCTCGGCACAGTCACACCTTCTCTGCCATGCCCGCACAGGGACACCGAGCCCTCCTCCTTCCCTGTGCCCAGGAACAGCCCCAGCTCACACGGGGACACCGAGCCCTCCTCCTTCCCTGTGCCCAGGAACAGCCCCAGCTCACACGGGGACACCGAGCCCTCCTCCTTCCCTGTGCCCAGGAACAGCCCCAGCTCAGAGCCCCCGGGCACGGTGGCAGGAGGGGCACACGGGGTACCCAGGCTGCCCGGCTGCCTGGAGCCCTGCAGAGGGGCAGGGTGGGCAGAGAGGCCCCGGAGCGCAGGCTGAGCCCGCGGCCCCAGCCTCAGCAACTCCAGGAGTGCCCTTATTCAGCAGCTGTGAGCTGGCCGACGCCGCGGGCTGGAGGAGGGGAAAGAACAGGGAGGAGACCGGGGGAACCTTTAGTACCCGCGGTGGAACGAGGCAGCTCTCGCTTGCCTTGGACTTTAGAGCGATTTACCAAAAAGGAGGAATTTGGTTTGTGCCGGGGGCAGGATGAAGGGGGTCTCAGGGAGGGCAGGGCAGGGCACGGCGTGTGCAGAGCTGCAGGTCTGTGGGGTGACAGACACGGGCAGCACCAGCCATCAGCAGGGTACCCGCTGAAACAACCTGCTTGGGAGCAAGCAAGGAGGCTTCCTACAGACTGTATCCTCTCCTCAGCCTCCTGCAACTGTCCTCACAGCAAATCTTGTCCTCTGTCACCTCAGCCTGCCCATCCACAACAGCTTGGCAGCCCCTTTCCCCCAGCTTCATCCCACACTCCTAGTGACTGCCCAGCAAGGTGCTTGTGAGCACAGAGGGATTTCAACCCCTCTCCTTCCCTGAGCATCGGTTTTCACAAAAACACTCCATGCTTTGGGGAGATCCCACGGACTCCCTTTCAGCCTGGATGCATCCCATGGACCTCCTGCCCCTCCCAGCCAGGGTGCTGGGAGAAATAGCTATTGCAGGGATGACCTGAGCCCACTGTCAGGGGCAGAGGGGGCATGTTTAGCCAAAATGGGGCCACAGGGAGGTTAAAATCAGTCTGAAAGTTGTTGAGTTTCTTGTTCTGTTTCTGAATAACGTGTATATGTATCTGTCCTCCCACTCCTGCCAGCTCTGCTCCTCAGGTCCCACGCTAACACCGAACAAGGGGGGCAGCAGGCCAGGCAATCCCCCCCATGGAATGGAGGGAGTCAGGCACCTCAGCCCCACAGTGGCCCTGGTCCCTCAGCCCAGGGCCCCACAGCCCCCCCAGCTCAGGCTGCCTCTCTGCAGCAGCTCAGGAGGGCCACTTGTGTCCCCAGTGTCTGGGGGAGGCAGCCCCCACACACCCCACAGCACGAGGCCATGTGCCCATGGGGCAGCCTGTCCCCGTGTCACAGTGTGGCAGTGACAACCTCCTAAAGGTCCACACCCTGCTCCAGATTCAGAGCAGAAAGGGGCTCGCCCTTCTTAATGCAAAGGTTGAATCCCCTGGGTGGGGAATAACGTGGCTGGGGCTGCAGTGGGCCTGAGGCAACGCTGGTGTTCAGAGCTGCTTTCAGGGAGTCTCAGGACTCACCAAATCCTGGAGAAGTCATTGCTTTTGGACACACCCCAAAGCTCTCCCTGCCTCTGTCCCTGTGAAGAGCATCTCCAGAGAGCAGCACAAAGCCCTGCCCGCCCCCCAAGAGCATCCTGTGTCTCACTGGAGCAGCGTTTTACCTAGAAAGGAAAAGGAACAAGCACATCGTTATCCCAGCTCTCATCCTCTGCTGAACAACTCATTAATCACTGGCTGAAGGAGGAAACTATTGAAACACTGCCCATGGGCCTCCAAGGGTCCTGCTGGACCCTTCCAGGACCGTTTGTCCGTGCCAGTCTCTAGCACAGACATGGCAAACCGTGAGTGCAGAAGATGCCAGGATGATCCCAAACCAGTGAGATCCAGCCTGCGCCCAGAAGAACAAACACAAACCATCTTTACCCTGAATCAGGGCCCAAATGCTTTTCTTCCCCAGGCACAAAGCAAAAAATTATGCCTTCTACTTTCTTTCATTTCAGCCAAGAAATACCAATAATAGCTTATTTTGCCCCAGTAAAGATCAGGACTCACCTCTGATTGCCACATCCATCTTCAGCTGAGCACATAGCACTTGGCTCTAAGACTCTCCTGATTTTTCAGCAGCTAGTGAGGTCTGAAAACAAACAACTTGATGGATTATTCCCTTAAATCAGGACATTAGGGTTACACTGGCATTCACCGGCAAACAGCTGCTCCTGCTTACAAAGAGTCTCTGGGCATCTCGGGAAACAAAGAGTCTGAGCTGGGAGTAAAGCCCTTGTACCTTCCTTCAGCTCTTTGACCAGGCAGGACTTCAATGCTTTGCCCAGTGTTTGGCCCTGAAGGCCTTAAGATGAGGAGGCACCTCCAGGCTGTGAGAAAAGAGCCTTCAATGTCAGGCTCTCCAGCACTGCACTAAAAGGCTGTGGCAAGCAGGGGAACCTCTGCTCAAAGCCTGCCTGGGGCACAGAAACAACAATGGACCACCCAAAACTGCCATGAGCCCCGAGACCATCTATTCAGGCAGAAACACACTCACCTCCCCCTGCCAGGGTCCCAGCACTGCAGTGTGTGGGACCTCCTGCATGGCCAGCAGCTGCTCCAGCCAGCTGGCTGCTCTCCAGCCTCTGGGGACAGCTACAACAGCCTGGAGACCTTAAAATGCAGCAGGGAGACTCAGCTTCAGCTCCAAGGCTCTGCCAACAAGGCAGTGCCCTGGGATATATTTTCTTGACTGCAAGAATGGGCAATCAATAAGTGGTAACAGGAGCAGGGATTTGATGCTCGTGGAGAGTCGGGAACGCCTGGTATTTCTGATCTGCTTTTGTTTTCCTGTTAACTAGAAAACAAGGTGTGGGAGAGAGGTTAATAGTGGTGTAAGAGTTCACAAAGAGGCACTTTACAAATTATTAAGCTCTATTTTCATAGAGGAGGGGGCTCATCTCAGAGGCAGTTCAGTGTTTTGTTGATCACCACAACTCTCACGTGAGGGTTTTTTCCTCAGGACAACTTTCTAAGGCATTCTAACAAGCTGTGATTTCAGCTTAATGGAAGGTTTGCTCTGGAAACAGAGTTATCTGTGCCTTGGAAGTAGATAATGGAGCTTGGAACTCTCCATATCCCCAAACAGTCTCACCCCTGCTCTGACTTACCTTATCCCATTAATTGGCAATGTGCTGCAGGAGCATAACTTAACATTACAAGCAAGTCATTCCAATTTGACTCCATCCTGCAAAACCCACTGTGGATTTTGGACTTCACCTCCTACCTCAGCTCAGGAACATTTGAATTCTGAGTCCCAATTCTCATCCCCTTCCAAAAGAACAACAAGGCTCATTTGGAAGGGGAAAATTGACCGTTGGCATCTCACAGCTGGACAGGATTTCAGTTTCTTCTTTATTTGTTGCAAATCTGTTATTTAAACTAAACCACCCTGACAATTTTTACCTGAGCAGGTGCTGGGAACACTCCTACATAAGACCTTTCAAGGCATTTGGCTGTGAGGTCTTCTCAAGAGCACAGTAGATTTATGGCTATATTAACCACTGGCATTTTAGGTACCTCAACACAAAAAAGGGGAAGGAGTCTTAAATAATTATCAGTGCTGACAAGGAGAAAGCAGTGGAAATTGAGTTTAAAAGAACCCGACCCTGTCTGAAGGGCTGAACTAGATCCATTTAATGTCTATATAAATTCTCTAGCAGTGCTCAGGGAAGTAGAAACTTAACCTTTGATGTGACAGACTTACAGAAGACTCAGCTCACATGTCTTTGTTGGAAAATTCACACAGCTTACAATGTCTTCCCAGAGCAGGGACAGCACCCAGGGAATGGCTGGAGCTGTGTCAGGGAGGGTTAGGCTGGATATTAGAACAAGGTTCTTTCCCCAGAGGGTGGTTGGCACTGACCAGGCTTCCCAGGGCAGTGGGCACAGCCCCGAGGCTGCCAGAGCTCCAGGAGGGTTTGGAGACAGGGTTGGATTGTTGAGGTGTCCTGGGCAGCGCCAGGAGTTGGACTCGGTGACCCTTGTGGGTCCTTTCCAACTGAGGATATTCTGTGACAAATGTCTTGTTTTAACACCTCACTCTGCGTTGGAGATCCCCCTTTTACAAACCCAGCTGGGACTGAAAGAAGCACTGAACACACACTGAGGGAGAGCACAGAGAAAGACCCCCAGCTCCCTGAGGGGGGTCTCCACAACTTCTCCAGGGGAGAATCCTCTCCCACCCTTAAACACACTCCTTGTGCAGCAGGACCAAGGCACACAGGCAGCCTGGAGATGTGCTCTCCCCAAACAGGGGGTGTTGGCTTAGATGGAGATGGGGGTGAGGTGGGGATAACAGAAAGAGGATGAGACAGGGCAGGGAATAGCCACATCTCCTTTCCACATAGATGGTTCCCACCCCAGTCCTGAGCACCCCCCCTCACACCCAGAGTGCTCTGTCAGCCATACACAGAACTCCAGCATGGCTGAGACACAGGAGGGCTGCACACCTTCAAAAATCAGAATAAAATGATTAAAATGCTGCTGAAGCTACTTACTGTTTGCTGGACTCTTTCTGCATTAGGTAAATAATTACTCATAGAGGGAATTCTTGCTCCTTTATGCATATTAAGAAGCAGAGTGAGGGAGGTGCAGGGATTAAAGGAATAGAAACGATTTGCAAAATGTGGCAGTGCATCACCATCTGCAGAAAATGGACCAAGAAGACCTGCTCAGAGCCAGATCAGACATGCAAGGTCTAACACAATTTTGTGAAGCCCCGTAGCACACCAACACCAAGAAAGAACTGAGGGTGGAAAGAAACCCCTTGCTAAGCTAGTGGTGTAACTTCTTGCAGGAGTTAAAACCCCACCTGGGTGATCCCAGCTGTGCAGAGCTCTCAGGAGGCACGTTCCTGGACCAGAATGAAGTGTTTGGGGATGCAGACCAAAGGGGAGCTGTCTGCCACTCCTTGCTTTGTGGTGCTACCTCTTGGGAAGACGGGCTTTCCTAACCCTTCTCCTTTCTTTTCCAGGGAAGGCTCCAATGCCACGACCTCACTACAAGCCCCAGGAACCCAATGGCTGTAGCTCCAATTTTCTGGGGCTCAAGGTACCCGAAAGTGTATGTACTGAAATGGGGCAGCTCCCTAATCACAAAACCAGCCAATAATTCTGAGAAGAGAGAAGGGAACATGTTCAGTGCTGGGAAGCTCGGTGACACTGTACACACAGCAATACCTGAATGCATCCTCCACCCCTGGCCCTTTACCCCTCCCAGGCTTTTTGCCTCTGCCAAGCACTGAATTAAACACACGGGCTTTGATGCTGCACCTGCCTGTTATTTTAAAGGCAATTAAAGAAATCACATCGGAGTCGCTGGGAAAAGCACTCCCAGGAGGCTCTCAGAGCAGGAATTCCCCTTTAGCTCATGCAGCCCATGAAGTCTGCAGCAATCAGGCAGATTCCTGCTCCGAAAGCCCCTCTCTTTGCAGCCCATTTTGCATGTTAGATTTAGTCCCTTAAACTCTATTTCATTGCAAACCTTGTGGGTATGTCTGTGGTAGCTCCTCCTGACATGGGCAATCACGGGCACAACAAAGGAACAATTCATCTCCTAAATATTACATGAGGAAGGCCAAAAAGAGGAATAATTTATAACAAGCTAATGAGTCCAATCTCTCCAGAAGACAGGCCTTCTGCCCCCTCAGTCCCACGGTTATTAGCTAAGCTTGCTGTTTACTCCAGGAGAGCAGAACTCCCCTGACCACGCCATGTTTGTCCTTGGCCTCACAAGTGCATCTCTGAGAAATAAGTCATTAGAAACACCTATGGCAGATTTATTAGGCCAAAATGGAGGACTTGTTACATTTTGGGAAAAGGAGGAAAAAGGGGCTTTTGCCACTGCTGGCAAGGACATGGAGCTCTCTGATGAGCTCAGACAAATGAAAAACAGCAAATGGTTGTGGAGGGGCTGTTTCCCCCCTCTCTACCAGAGGTTTATTCGCTGTGACAGAGAGGGGAGAAGGGAATGGGATCTACCCTGCACTGAATCTGCACCACTGTCACCACTTTCTTCAGATGGTGAGGGAGCATCCCACGTTCCCTCCTTCTGCCCCAGCTATCCAGGGAAATTTCTGGAGAAGGGACCAGCTGGGCTCTGCAGCACCTCGCCCCATCACAGCTGTGTGAGCCTGAGGCCAGGACACAGCCCAGGGACACTTCTTTTCTCTTTCCCCAGCTAGATTTGGGCATCCCTGCCATGACCAAGTGCTGTAACCAGCTGGACATTTGTTATGACACCTGCGGGGCCAACAAGTACCGCTGTGACGCCAAGTTCCGCTGGTGCCTCCACTCCATCTGCTCCGACCTCAAGCGCAGCCTCGGCTTCGTCTCCAAGGTCCAAGGTGGGCTCCCTGGCTGGCATTCCCTGGGGAGGGAACCAGAGGTGGCAGGGAGGGGAGGGTGAGTGCAAAGAGCCCTTTTTCCTTGCCAAAAAAAGGAAAAATCGGCAGTAGGGAGCAGCACTTCTGCCCTGTGCTTGTCACTGGTGGGTCAGGGATGGGTGAGAACACAGAGATTTGCCCCCTCTGCCACACACTTCTGTCCCGAGACTGGAGACCTACAGGGATTTTGGCATTTGGAAAACATTACAATGTAGAAAGGAAAAAAACAAAACAAAACAAAACAACAAACCTGGGAAGCAATTCCTTCAAAGCTTGGATGCCCTCCCAGAGAGTTCAAACATGGGATACCAAAAACCTTCCAGAGCCACTAAAGCCACACACTAAACCTGTCCTGTATGTGGCCAAGGGCCAACAAACTGGGAGAGCCAAGGACAGGACTCTCCGGGATGTGGTTCCCAGATAAGAGATGCTGATGGCAGCGGGGACACACCGCAGTGTGGGTGGTGGCTGAGCCATTGCTGAGCCATCCAGGGCAGATCTGGATTGCCCAGAAGTGCTAATGAAAGCTCTAGTGATGTGTCAGCAGTTCAAGTGCCACCCTGGTTTTGCCTAAATTTTAAAAGGCTCATTCTGCAAGTCTGAGAAGAGCTTTTTGGTAAGGGCTGTGTTTGGTAATCTCTGCTGATGCCCTGCTGTAAGGTGTCCTTAAATGTGCATTTGTTTTCTGAAGGTACAGCCTGATTAGGACACATGGGAGGTCTGTAACACCAGTACTAGTGCAGATGGCTCCCCACTGTGTCACTTATCTGGGATCCTCTCCACTGACTCACCAGGAGCCCAGGGAAAGCAGACAGGGGAAGAGCAGCTGCACTCCCTTCGTGTGGGCACAAACATCCCAGCTGCAGCAAGTGCCAGTTTGCCAAAGCCTTGGTTTTACCACTGACTCATCACAGCCTCTTCAACTCCCAAAGGAGCAGGAGCTCTGAGGTGCTCGGAGAGGCTGAGATGGGAGAAGACAGTCCCAAAGGCAAGGCTTTCCCAAATTTATTATGCATACAACAATCAATGTTATGCCAGTGAGTAAACCCTAAAGTCCTAATAATAACCAATTATTTACTGACAAGCAGTTTCAGGGTTGCTTTTTGGGATGAGGAGGTGCTAGCAGTCAGGCACTCAGCTGTTCCAACTGCAGGAGGATTTTTCCTGCTGGCATCATAACTCTCAGCTGCACAGCAAGGTTGGTTAATAGTGGCTATAGGCTAAACTGAGGGGAGAGGGAGCCAGGAAAGGCAGCAGTGTGGAGGTCTCCTGGGAAATATGCTTGGTAAACAGTGCTGTTTGCAGAGCCCCAGGTGATCCATCACCCAGTAAAGCCTGAGAGAGGCAAGAAAGGAGGGGGTGAGAGGGGAGAAGAGAGAGAAGAGGAGCCCCCAGTCCTGCAGAGGGAACCTCGGGGTCTATAAGGATGCAGTTCCCAGGGGGAGGATAAGAGCCCCCAAGGGGCAAACCCCAAAGCCCAGGGAGCTCAGTGGGGTGCCACCACTCACCTGCCTGGCCCTGTCCTTGTCCCCAGCCTGCGAGTCGGTGGCAGACACCGTGTTCAATGCCGTGTGGACGCTGGGCTGCCGGCCCTTCATGAACAGCCAGAGGAGCGCCTGCATCTGCAGCGAGGAGGAGCGGGACGAGCTGTGAGCAGGAACAGCTGCTGCCGAGGGTCCCCTCTCCACACAGTGACTCCTGTCACCCCTGGGCCACGCCACTCACACCAACACAGACCGTGGGCACGGTGGGGACAGCCTGGGAACATGGGGCAGCCGTGCCTGCTGACCACCACAGCAGCAGCCCAATAGCCCTGCTGCCCCTTTCCAAGGCCAGCAGCCTGGGAGATCCGATGCCAATCTTCTCCGTGGACTGACCAGGGGAGGCAAGCAGGATGCAGTACTGGTTATAAAAAAGGGGCTTTACCTTGAACACACATCTGTTAGCTCCTCCCGCCCTGGAACTCTCTAATTTGCCATGCAAGGCATTAGGTTTCTGCAACCCCTGTGAAATTCCCGGTCCATGGACATGCTATTTACATTTTTCCACCACTGGTAACAGACTAAAGAAGGGTAATTTGCTTTCAGTACATTGCTCACACCCATCCCTGACATTTTCCATCCCATCATTGCACACCCTGACAACCCTGCATATTTAAATATTTGGTGGATTCTAAAACAATCTAAAACATCTGGAGATTTGGTAAACACGAGAAGGACCTGAGGTGTTTGTGATAAAGGCATAATTCACATCTGGGACCAAAGCCCATCACTTCTCAGATGTGAAATCCCAGCCCTCTCCCCCCAAGTCTCAGGAGACAAAGCTGCTTTTCTTTGGCAGTGCCATCCACATCTATTTAATTATTTTCCTCCTACACCATTTAACAAAGCTTTTCCCTTCGGATCTCTTTTGACACAAAATGGCTGGGTATCCACTCCCATCTTCTGCACGAGGGAAACAGGAAGCTCACAGTGGCCTTGGATGAGATATTCCAAATTCTGGAGGCTTATCTGTCAGATGACAGGGCTTACGTGCTACCTCTGTGGGGCTGCTATCAGCAGCCTCAGACACCGCTCCTTCTAAAACGTGGTTAATGCTCCCATCTGTTATGGGGAGCTTTTATTGCATGCAAAATTAGAATTTAAAGTGGTATATGGCATTTCATCTCCACACAGCATTGGCAGACAGCTTTCAGCTGGGTTTCTCGTTGGAAGGAAGTTGTTACTGGGCGCTCGTGCCGTGCCACGTAAATATTTCAGCAGCTTCTGCAAACATATTTATGGTTATGTTCTTCCATCTGCCACGGAGAAGTTAGGGCTGCAGAAGGGTGATTTAACCAGAGTGGAAAGAGTCTGTCTTGGTTACTTTTCTTCCAGTTTGGGTTTAAATGTGTGCACGGAGCTATAAATTAATTAAGCTCCGTATTTCTGTTCTCGCCAGTCGTCTTTGCTTCCCAGAGAACAGCAATGAGATGTTCAACTGGCCCCAAAGAGGCTGAGACAACAAGAGCCCACTGGTATCCAGACCAGGAAAATGGCAGTGACTGCATGGGGTGTTTTCCATTATGGAGGACCTTAATTTACACTGATCAGAGGCAATGACATCCTTTCCCAGCTGGGCTAATGCCACTGGAGAGGAACATTGCTGTCTGTGTCTGTCTGGACAGACAGCCTTGATTATCCATCTAAGAAACACATGCTTTTGCCCAGGAATGGGAAGGAAACGTCCCTCATTCCAGACACTTCTCCAACTTCGCATTTTGTTGGTGAAATGGTGCCTGTTGCCTGTTTAAATGTGAACATACTCTTATGATTAAATGACAAAGAAATTAAAGCGTCTACATTGTCTACACTCAACAGCCAACTGGCTGGCAAATGTCTTCAAATATTTTACAGTTCAAATGATATCAGAGTAAAGGCAAGCAACTGCTGGTAGGTGGTGACATACACTGGAGAAATCAAAGGGTTCTGAACAGAACCTCTCTGTGCAGACACTGATGTGTTGGAGATGCCACTAACATAAATCATAATTTCTTCATGTTTCAGACCACCATTCACCCCCAAACCCTAGAGCCTGCTGCATGCAGGCCAGCTGCTGAATAAGTGCCTTTTCCCCTCTGGTAATTTGCAAAACCCCACGAGCAGCTCTACAAGGAAATTTTTGAACCTCCAAGCGGAGGCAGTGACTTGAGAAAACCATCAGATAATCCCATGTAGGAGAAAACCAGTGCATGAACTCCAGTAAAACTGCATGAAAACCAAAAACTGCTTCCCCTCCGCACTGCTATCCAGTGGTGTACGGCCCTGGAAGCAGCTGATCACAGGATTCTCCAGGTCAATGCACAAACCTTGGGTTACCTTTGCTCCCACTCTGCTCTCGACAGGAAGATGACACTGTGCTCACCCCGTGGCTTCTCGTGGACTTCGTGTCTTGGCAGGATTATTTTTCACCTCCTGCTGACTTCAAGCCATTCAGCCAATGGGCCCTCCACAGACAGCAATCTCTGTTTCCACTGGGGGCATAAAAGCAGGGACTAGGACCTCAGGTAAATAGGCGTTTATACCTGGATATTCCAAGCCATAGATACTTTGGATATCCCAATCTGGATTTCTTAGCTAAAGAGCTGCAGAGCAGAAAAGCTGCTTCATATGAACTTGCCAGGAAGAGCTAAATAACGTGCACAATAACTGAAATAAGCCAGGAAAGGAACCTCTCCCTCCATCACTCCCCCACATCCCTTTCACATGAACAAACAACACCAGTTCCCTCTCCAGAAGGCCCCAGATCATTAATTTAATTTCCCAGCACTTGTTTTATCAAAACAAGTATATATAGCAAGGGCTGCCTGAACAAAGAAGTGACAGGAAGAAACTACCCGTGTGGTCCTAATGCAGATGTGAATCTGCAATCCTAGGAGGAGGCTTTTTCCTCTCTTTTTCTTTCACATATGGCTAGATAACACAGGAACAGTGTCTTTCCACTTATGCCTACTTATCATCACAGAAATGATGATTTACTCTAAAATACACACATATTCCCAGATTGGAAAAGCAGCCATGAAGCTATTTAGAAAAGTCATGAAACTCTCAGCCCATTAAATGCCCATTCCTCACTGGAATCTCACTTGCCAGAGCAAATAAATCTGTGAAATGGAATACTGTTGAGGTAATTTGTGACTCCCTTCTAAATGATCCCTTCAAACAGGCTCCCCATCCATTTGAAAGCAGCAACAAATCTTTTTTGCAGTAATTTGGCTGCCTTCAACCAAAGCAGAACACAGGTAATGAAGGATAGGGGCCTTCCAGCAGACCTCCTAACACGCAGGACGGAGCTGCACATGGAGAAGCCTCTTGTAGAAAACCTCAGGAATGCACTGCAGTGCCACAGCCGGTGGTGGAGACGGATCCTTCCTCTCTCATCCTTGTTCCTGCCTCTCCTTTGTCCTTCACTGCTCACTGTGCCTCCTTTCTTTCACCCCACATCCCCAATCCTTCACCTTGCAGCGCTCCCGCTCCTGAATGAAGCCCAGAGGAGACCGAGCTGATCATCTGTTATGTTTTCTTTGGAAGGAGCTTGACAGCCCCAAGAGACTCCTGACAACCACGATGCCACCAGTCCTTGTGTCTCCAGCTACAGTCACTTGAACAAGGCTGCCTGGTGTCTCCTGTCACCAGGGGACAGCCCTGTCCTGAGAACTGCCCACATTACAAGTGATTCCTGTAAATAATTACTGTGCATTCCTCTAATCCCTCCGTTGGAGCCATGGTCTAACGGGGCGAAGCCTCACAAGTTCCAAACAAACATTTGGTAGCAGCACGCCTGGGAGGGGGGTGTTTATAGATGTTTAATGGTGCTTCTCTTACAATCAAGGTGCCAGAGCACTTAGCAAAGGCACTTTTGGTGGTGGGAGAAGAGGGAGAAAAATAATGATACACTAAATATAGGCAGAAACACTATTAAACTGCATGCAATTACCAAAAGACACTAAAAAATCAAATCTTATTAAATACCTTTCACTTTTAAAAATAACATTTAAATGTGCCTGTGATAGAGCTGAGCTTTGGCTGCCTGTAACGACAATTGTACAGCTCCAGGGAATTTACAAATGATGAGATAGAATATTTTATACTTGTTTTTATTAACAGTCACCCAGAAGCTTCAGCATCGCTCACAGAACTGCACAGCAAACACATTCAGCTACGATACTATTTGTACTGTCTGATGCAAGAAGGCCTTGGATAACATTTGTTTAGCCAAGGACAAACAGTCCTAGAGCCTGTAGGTGGATGTAGGGAAAGACAAAGCTGGGAAACGCTTCCGGTCTGCAAAGCAACAGGGTCCCTCCAGCCAAAGGGTTGCTGGGAAGAAACGCAGGTAAAACCAAACCATTCTGCAGTCCGGGTGTCCAAAACACAAATAATCATCATAGGGTTAGGGAAATGAGTCCTGAGGTGCAAGTGGGGCTTTGCCAAATACCTCTTGTTTCCCAAACAGCCATGGCAGAAGGCACTGATAAGGAAGGCACTGATAAGGAAGGCCGCCCTCAGTCGGAGATGCTGTTCCAGAGGGTGGGTGTCAGTCGTCAAAGTCGATTCTGATGGGGCCCCCTGTCAGGACGTGGTTTGCCACATGAACAGATCCCTTCTCCTCCTCTGCCACACGAACAGATCCCTTCTCCTCCTCCTCCTCCTCCTCGGCCGCCCTGCGCGCGCGTCTCCGGCAGCCCTGGGCGCAGCGGGACGTCTCGTCCAGGGCCCCGCACACCAGGATGCGGCAGTGCAGGAACACCTCCTGGGGGTGGGGACACAGCAGGACGGGGTCAGCGCTCTGGGAATCACTGGCACTGCTGGCACAGCACGAGCCACACCACTGCCATGGCACAGCCACTTCTGTCCCTGCACCGACAGGGTCTGTGTCCACCATCGCCACCCGCAGCCAAACCGGCCGCTCCGGCTGAGATCTCAGAGCATCTGTCTGTGAGCCAAGGGTGCACACACAGGGGATAGGAAGGCGGGAAATGATCCTCCAGAAGAAGGGATGAAAACGCCAGGAATAAGCTTGGAAGAACTTGCATGGACTGGCAGGAGCTGCATGGCAGGGATCAGGTCAAGAACACGTGAAGCCTCACACAGAGATGGGCTGAGAGAAACGTGCAAGAGGATTTAAAGTGGGCTGAGAAAACATAAAGCTAAGAATCTGAGGGGAAAAGGAGGGAAACACTGGGTGATGAGGGGCTGAAGGAAGGAGGAGAATGCAAAGAGCAGGGAGACAGCTGCCTTGTTATCCTGCACAGCAAAGGCAGGGACAGGGTTGCTGCTCCCTGCCCCATACATGACAAGGAGAAGAAGCAAGATCCCTGCAAGCAAGCAGTCACAAATACATGATCAATGGTGTGGTTTGAAGCAGAATCCATGGCTCAGGCTGGGAGGATGGATGCAGGGTGGAGACAGCAGTGGCAATCAGATGGCCAAGAAAAATTCCTGAATTTTGGAAGATCTCATTTGTTTTAGCCCTGATGAGGCTCTCTGGTAGCTGGAGCAGCAGCTTTATACCTTGTGGAGTAAGCAGTGTTGGCTGAGCATAACAATGACTGGAAGACCCAGTTTATTCCAGCACAGAAAAGGAAAGCTGTTTGCATTAGGGAAATGGGATTATCCTTCAACTGCCCTCTCACTACTGAGCTTCTGCCCCAGAGTGCCACTGGCCTGGACAGCCAGGTTTCACACTGAACTGAACAGGATGGTGACCTTGCACCTGGAATCCTGGCATCTGTACTCCCAAGAGCTAGAGAAGACACAAGGTTGAAGAGATTCCAAACTATAGACTGTCCTGTTTTGAAGACAGGACACTGCAAAATGTGCCTGGTGACTGGGAACACCTTCTCGCCCAGCATACGAGGGTCCACTAAGACCACCTTGGACACAACAATGATTTTAGCCTGCTGGCATTGATGTTCCACAACTTAATTTTAGTTGTTTTTATCAGTCTGTCCCAAAGCACCTGTGTCAGGCTCCTGAAAGACACAACTGCTGAAACAGGCCCAGCAGCACCTGCCTTGGCCCAGCCATTCCACCCCTTTGCACTCTCACACAGCCACCCTGGTGCTGAGATTCCTTGGTCAGATCAGAGCTGATGCAATCACCTGAGAGCTGAGTTTTGAGCTTACCCTGTTGTCTTTGCCCACGAACTTGAACACAGGAACCTGGAAATGCTTGGCAAGATGGTCCTTTGACGTGTACTGCTTCACGGAGTCATCGGACACGCAGCTGAGGGAAACAGAGGGACAGGCTTTTAATGGCTTTCCCAGAAGTGGAAAAAGACATTCCAGCCTACTTAACCAGAGAAAGGAAAGGAGGGCTTGGCTCTCTCAAGCTAAGCTACCATCCCTGCTACTTCCTCTTTGGCCACAGGAGAAAATTCAGAACGATGGGGGAAAACAACAGCAATGCTAATAGCATCTCCAGACAAAGGACAGCTCAGCAGCAGAGAGCTGGCAGGACCTGGGCCAGTCCCCTCAGAGAGGGACTGCCAGAGAGCTGCAGGCAAGTCTGTCCTCGTTTCACCTTCCTGTGCAACAGTCTGCAGTGTTATACACTGTTGAATGTGTTATGTACTTCTGTGTACACATATATATGCACATAAATTATGCTTAAAATGAAGCCTGTACACACATTACTAAAATATCACAGATGATGAAAGCAAAAAAAAACAAATTTGCTTTGCTTTGTATCATTTACATATTTCCTCCTGCTGGACTTGGTCAGACAGCTCAAATTCACTGCATTAAATTAATAATTTCAATTTTTCCATCACTAGCAATATATGATCATGCCCTCCATACAGGAGAGCAGCACATGCTCCTGGGAGCACTAGGCACTGCTCTGATCCCAGCATTATTTTCACCACTATTTCTCCATGGCCTGAAGGGATATCCCTGTCTGCAGCACTTCCCTGGAGGCAAACACAAAACCCATCCCCAGGGAGCTGATAAACCACCACTGTGCATCTACAAAACCGGACAGGTTCCTCCCCCCTGAGGCCAAACACACTCAGTTGTTTAGAATAAAACTGCTGTTAAAAGCAGTATTCCTGAAGGCATCTGACTGTAAGGAATGACAGTTAAAGACTTCTCATGGGTGACTGACCAAGCTTTGGGGCTGTGAAGTCAACTCGTAGGGCTGTCCTCATTTGTGAGCACATCAGCTGTGATGATTCTTGGACACCGGCTCAAACTGACTCCTAAATCTCAAGTTCTCCAAAGGTTTGCCACACTGGTGGCAGGAAACATACTGGTTTGGGGTTAGGGAGATGGGAGAACATCAAGCAAGAATCAGGGATATATGGACAAAACCAGCTCAGAAACCTCCTGAGTCATGGGGACAAGCCCTTTTGCATTTTGTGTGGGGCCATACCCTAATCCACTCTCCTAGGAAACTCCCAGACTCTGTCTCCCACCTTGGAGAGGTAGGGAAGGACAGGGAGCACAGGTAAGGAAGGAAAATGGGTGAGCCTGGTCAGGATACAGGGAAAATAATGCTTTTCTGTGCATACTGTGCTTTAAGTTCAGGAAGCAGACTGGCAGTGCCACGGGAGCTGTGCTCTGACCCATTTGCTGGGGGGTTCTAAGGTAGAAAGGAGGGCTTGGAGAATAAAATATCCACTTCAGCCTACAAATGAGGGGCAGCCCGAGGTGTAACTGAGGTGAGCCTTGCAGTGGAACTCCCTTCACTCCATGGTGCTCAGCTAAAGCACAGCTCCTGACCACAGCACATTGCCCTGCATGACACGACCTCGCTCCGGGTGCCCCAGAGAGCTTCAACACTCATCACCTGGGCCTTTGGTCAGTGCCTTTGGCTGCACTGTGCTTTCAGAGAGAGGAAGAACAGATCAGAAGCAGGAGAGCTGCTCTGGGGTTGGCTGGGCTAGCAGCAGTGCAGGGTACTACAGGGGAGGGACCTGGAAAAATCCTGGTTTCCAGGGTGGTCACATCAGCACGGGGAGAAGGCTGGAGTCCCACAGAAGGCGGCTCCCACCTCTTGCTGACTGGAGAAGGCAGGGAAGGAAGCAGTAGAGAGAATTTCCCCATCCCTAAGTCCAAGGTAAATCCCCTCAAATTTGAACAGTGTTCCCCTCTGGAAGCTGCAGTTAACTCCAGCAGGTCTGATCCTACATAATCGAAATAATTTAAAAATCCCATCTTTATTGCCCTGGGCTTTTGGGGCTGGGTTGCTGGAAGGAAACTGGGTTATTACAGAACTGTCTGGAGCAGGGACAACTCAGCAGAGTATTTATTCAGCTAATCTTACTTTTGAATCGCTGCAAGCGCAGAGACAGAGAGAGACAAAGAACCCCAGTTAGTTCGATAGCACATCACTAGTGAGCAGTTTAACTACAGCCCAGCCCACGGGGGTGGTGAGTCTGGGGACACTGGGGCCTGCAGTGAGGCTGCAGAGAGGAGCAGGCTGGATGAGGCTCCAGCCCACTTTTCCCTTTGGTGAAGTTTCAATGCCCTCTGCAGGTACCAAGGGGCTGCCGGTGCCGTAAATCCTCCAACTAGTGCTGGGGTGAATTTAAGGCATGACATTTGCTACCTTCTCCCTTCTCCATCTGGCTCAGGTTTTGTTTGCTGTTTTGAATCCCATCACTCATGAGGAGAAATTAATGAATCTTTGGAGCCTTGACTCTGTGAAGGGTCTACAGGAAGAGCCAAGGCAGGGAGTCAATAAAATCAATTCTCCCATTACAAATCTGCTCATAAAGCCCAGAAATGTCAGGCACAGAAGGACTGCAGCCTAGGATGGAGGGAGAGCTGAATCCTTCATTGGGAGATGAAAAGAGAATTTCTGGGTACTTTACACTGCAGGACCCTTTTGCTGTGAGACAACGACACAGGACTTGTCATCACCAGCTGTAAGGGTGGGTGATTTAGCCTGGGCAGCTGAGGAAATAATTGTTGTCCTCATTAGATGGTCTGGCAGACAACACATGGGGCTTACACAAGCACAGTATCTTGACTGCCAGGCTACAACACTGCGGGTATGCCTTAGATATTCCCTGGACTGAACTTCCCTCCCTAGAGGAACAGCAGACTGTGACATTTCCACAGCATTGTCTGGTTAAGCTCCTGCATGCAAACACTCCACAGCAATGCTGTAGCATGGCACAGTCATTTTGGCACCCAGAGAAGTGTCTGAAAACAAGGATCATCTTAGGAGCCACAGCTGAGCCCCCAGCAGTGCTCCCCAAACCTCTGATGCAAAACCCACTACAGAGAACCCACAGATCCACATAGAATTGTTTTTAGCATATCCTGCAAAGATCACTAACCCCCAGAAAATTACAGCCAATCTGAGGGACCCTAAGTTTGCTGCACTGACATCAGAGAGAGGGATGCTCCTGGAGCTTCAACTAGGATCAGCAATGGAGTCTTCTGGCTCATGCTGTAAGAAGGCCATTATGAGAAAATTAAGAAACTTGCTCCAGTTGCTGCAGCAGCTGCCTGGCAGCAGCACATGGCCATCAGGGGGTTCTGCCCATTGGTTTGGTAGTCTGTGGCTGGCAGGGAGAGGATATCAGAAAAGAGAATCTTTTCTACAGGAGCCAACTCAGTTATCCACAAGGCTAGTTACAGGGAAATATGGCCTGTAAAGGCTGCACTCGGAGTAACCTCTTTCACTGTCTCCCACAGTTTCTCCCAATTACTTTTGATGGGACAGGTGGTTTCAGCTTGATGGCTGCTGGTGATTGCTGGGAGCAGGGCAGATAAACTACTGTGGAAAAGGGGTAGTGTTTCCTGCCTCAGACAAGACAACTCAGCCCCACTGCCAATTCCCATCCAACAGCCAGCAAGAGAGGGAACAGTGAACTCACCCATCTTGAATCAGGTAGTACTTGAGGATCTCATCGATTTTGGAGGTGGGAGTGGCGAAGCAGCTCTCTACAAGTGTCTCTAGTCCACTGACGTGCACCAAGGGCTCAATCCCAAAGTACAGCGAGTCCCGAAGCTTGAGGGTGGGAGGAGCCCCCCTGTAGGGTTCATCAAAGTCTTTGTCTTTGAAGATCTCCAGGGTGAAAGGGAAGATGCCCTGGTTGCGGCTCATGATTTCCAGGGGCGAGTTCTTGAGGTTGGGCACATAGGCCTCGGAGATGGTGTAGCGGCGCGGGAACTCGCAGGTCACCGGGATCAGCAGCTTGCTGGTGCGCACGATGATGTCCCCATTGCTGCCCGGGGTCTGCTTCGGCAAGCCAGTCACCAGGTTGGTGGCAATGATCTTGTCATCTATTACCTGCAGCAAAGAGAGGTGTTGAAGGGAAAGGGGAGATCACTGAGAAGGACCTCTCTGGGTTGACTTTGTTCAGGACACCCAAAGTAGCCACGGAAGGCACAGCTCTGTGAATTTATACGCTGCAACCAGAACGATGTTCACCCTCACTTACCAACCAAGGGCTCAGTTAGCTGTTGGCTGTGATGCACTGCACTCCTGCAGCAAGCTGAGGAATTGGCTTCCAGTGCCACCCATCTGCTAAGATGGGCTCTCTGGTTCCTGATCAGCTGCCAGTTTAAATTTTGGAAGAGAAGACCAGAATCTGTCTCAACAGGAGGGTGAGGAGTGACAGCACTTGTGCCTTCCACGCTGGCGTGACAGTGAAGCTCCCTCTGTGACGCACCAGGTGAGCAGAAAGCAGCACCCATGCTGACAGACACACCACTGGAGGGGAGGTGGAACAAGCTCTCCTACTTTGGGATGTTAGCCCGGGTCTACTCAGAGACCAGCTGCACAGCAACACAGGAAACTGCTCTGATAGTACAGCTAAACCAACCCTATTCCCCAAGGAAGCCACAGCCAAGTCCCCAAATGCAGAGATCCCAAGAGCCAGGGCAGTAGGTACAGTACATACATCTACAACAGTCCCACAGGACTTCAGGGAGAAATGGATGTTGACGTGAGTGCCGTTGGAGACGCCTTTGCATGAAGTGTTGATGAGGGAAAGGTCCAGGCCTCCAACCAGGTCCTTTGGGATGTTCACCTCGATAGAACTCGACTTGCACAGCACTGGAACTGCAAGAGAAGTCTCCATAATAACAGTCTGCACTACAAAGCTACCAGAGAGCTGGGGAAGGGCTGTACCAGTTATTATCGGGAAAAAAGGGGAATCCTGTGCAGCATTTATCATTACTATCTCCCCACAGGAACTGCCTATCTTGCATTCCTACCTACACAACACAAACCTGAACTACCACGGCCCCAAATTCTCCAGCCACAGCGAGGCCTCAGAAGACAATGAAGACAATCACCGCACTTGAAGCAGAAACTTGGCTGTGCAGCATTTCCAGCTTTACTTAATACTCAGCACAGGTTTGATTGATATCTCTTGCACTGCTATCTATGTCCTGGGAAGAGCCTTTGTCAGATATGGATATCAAATTCACAACACCCCAGGCAAAGCCATTTTTTAAGACCCTTAATCAGATTTTACATCAAATCCAGAACACATCAGAACAAGGCAGAGTAATTCCATATAGATACCAAGCTAAAATGGAAGCACCTCAAAATGCCATAATAATATTTTTATAAGCAATAAACCCAGCTCTGACAAACAAACCCAATTATCTCACTCATTCCCACCTCCTTCCAACCTCTGAATTTTTAATACAGATCTCCACGTGAATTTTTTTAAATTACCATTCCATTACATAAGAAGTGGCAGAAAACATACAGCTTGGGCAAAAGGAAGAAGGAAAGAAGAGAGAATAATCTTCAATAAAAAAGTAATTGCTATATATATATTCCTTGGGAGACAGGACAAGTGTACTGGTGCCAGAAAAACAATCCCCTTACAGTATTTCCCTTTATTATATTTTAAAATCCCACGACAAAACTTTTTGCAAATCTACTAGCTGCCCAAGCTTTTTGCCAAAATTACAGTCTCAGTCCTTGACATTCATATGACCTGCTTTCCCTTAATTTTGGTCATTAATTACATAACTTAGGATTCTGGATCTTGAATACAAGGCACACTGCTAAGACATGCCTTTTACTCCCCTTAAAAAAATTCTCCTGTTCTAGCCAAGGTATTTGTAACAGCCTCTACACCTGCAGGGAGGACTTCTAATAAAAACTTGATCTTTTCAAGGTGATATGCTAAAATGTATGCAGAGTGCCCACAGCAATATGCTCCCATAATGACATTGCTGGGTTAGAACAGAAGCTTAAAGAACTAAGAACTACCTTAACTTCCCCTCCATCGGCAGGTGGGAATAACGGAGCACGTCGGATGGCAAAGCTCAGGAGGAGACAAAGAGACTTTGGAACACAGCACAATGCACACAGAGGAACATCCTTCGGAGAACTGATGGGCTCAATCTGGATATAAAGCCTCACTGTCCTAGTGACTCCTTGATAAATAAGAAAATGTCATGCTTTTATTTTATAAAGGTGAAGTTCAGAGCAAGACAGTTCGTACCCCAGCTGCAATTTTCCTAAGTTCAGGACCAGTTTGGTTAAGGATATCTCTGTTTCTGCATGTCTTTGATTGGCACAAAGGAGGAGAAAGAAGACCCCACTGCCCCCATGCTCTGGCACTGCAGGACCTGTGTGCATACAAGTGAAGGAAACCTGCAGGCAGATCCACTGGTGAATCAAGACAAATCCTGGCTCCTTGGGAAAACACTGGGGGAAACTCCTCATACTGACCATGTCAGAGGAGCTGGTAATGCAATTCAAACCACCCCAGACATTTGTCCAAGGAATAGTAACCAGTGCTGAGAGCAGTGTTTCAGTTCTACCAATTTGTCAGTGGTGTTGCGAGCAGAGCCGGTGCCTCAGCGGGATCTGGCTCTGAGCAGACCCCCTTCCCCCAGGACAGGGGAGCTGCAAAGGAGATGACAAGGTGTGCAGACAACATGTTATTCCAGGGTAAGCGGTGAGGTCCCGACTGCCAGGACTGAGATGCCCAGCAGAAATGAGTTATCCTGATGCCAAGGAGCCCACTTTTATTCCCAACCTCTGGCATCCGTTCAGAGAGCTGATGTCAGCTCTGCACCCTCCTGACTTGCTGTCAGCATCCATGTCCTGCTCCTGAGAGCCTCATCCAGGCTGTGCAAATCAAACATTTCAGTTTTTCACCCTCATACACCACAGATCACCTGTGAGTACTGGGAAAGCCTCCTCATTTCCACTTTAAACTCTGCTTTGCACTAACACTTAACCCTGGTAGGAAGCTTCTGTGGTGAGCCCAATGCTCATTTTTGCTGTCTGCTGTTGTTGGCACTGTGTTCCAGCCTTTGGTTCCTTCCTCAGCCTTCCAAAGTGCAGCTGCTTGGAGCAGAGGTTATCCTTCTGCACAGACTGCCCAGCAGAACAGATTCCCTGACCCACTGCTATACACCAACTACAGTGTCGTACCCTGCCTACAGGCACAAAAAGCTTGGGCAGAGGAGGGGGGAGGAAAAAGCATTTCCCCCTGCACTTCAGAAAGATGTGGGGTACTAGGATGGGCTGCAAAATTCCAAGTGTTTTGCTGGCTGGTATCTTTGTGGAAAAAATGTAGTCAAGACTGTGGTTTCTGTGGAAGATTATTAATGTTTGTTCTGAACATAGAGACAGTGCAGAGGAGGGTGGAGAGGCTGCAGAGCCAATTGCTTCAGGCAACTGTGCCTGCCCTGCACTGCTAATTGAACCAATATAAACCTGATTAGATCTCATAAAAATTTGTGTGGTACAGCTCCATATCTGCTCAGAACTACAGACCAGTGCACAGGGATGTAAATCCATGACATGGAGAGGAACAAGCAATTCCACTCCATGAGATGCTGCATCCCCAGCCCTGCCTGGCCCCGGCAGTGCTGCTGCTCTCAGTAATCAGCCTCACAAGCAGGAGAAACATTGGCTGGGAAATCCAGGGCTCCCAACCCTGCTGGGGTTGCCTCAGAGAGACAGGACTGAAAATCATTGCTCTGTATCCATCCATCAGACCTTCAATCAGTGAATGTAGTCACAGCTCTTGGAAATGCCACCTCCACCTCCCCCAGCAGCACTGTGGGATCCCAAGTGTGCAGTGCTCAGCCTTGGGAGCCCTGCACTTCTAAAAGGCTTCAAAAAAAGCAGAAATTCCATCAAGCAGGACCATTCCAAGTTCATCTCTGAGACACACCTGCCCTGTTGGCCCCTGTGAAGTCTGGATCTGTCCCTCCAGCTGGTGTCTGGGCACTCTGTGACACATCAGACTGCAAGAGGTTCTCTGAGCACATCAGGAGACACCAGACTGCTGGTAGCTTGGGATGTATTTGTAAAGGTAATCCCATCCCAAAACATGGAACCTGTTCATTCCATGTGCATGCCATAGGTGTGAGTGAGTCAGCAGGAAGGCTCCCTGTGTAAAGTTCACATGGAAGGTTTTCCAAGGATAATGCTGTCCTTGCCTCTATGCAAGGATGTATCCCAGGCACTTTTCCAAGGGACAGCAGGAACACCCTGTATCAAAGCTAGTGCCCTGCTTCAAGGCATAGGAATGCTCACTGGAATGGCTACTGAGATACTTGGAGAAAACATGCCTCTCTTTTTAACCCCATTGTTGGAAGTGACTGAACCACTTGAGCTGAAATTTTCAAGTCTGAAGCATGGAAAATGTCAGTTCTACAGCACCAGTTTGTCAGAGGCACACAGAGCTGAAGCAGAGCAGTACAATAGGAGATATTATGCAATCTTAATTGTAAGTGAACTCTGCCAAAACCACCTGTAATGCAAGAGGCACCCAGGAGGGCCCTGTGGCTGTCCTCCTGCCTGGTTAAAAGAGCAATGCCTTCAGGCTCTCAGTTCTGGATGATCTGTCACTAATGACAAAGCTCCACTAATCAAACTGGAAAGGACAGACTAAGAGAAGACAACAAAACCAAGAAGAAAAGTTCCTTCAGACATACTTTTGGGGGACAGAGGCTGCTGGGGAGATTTTCTTGACCTACCTTGGCAAGTGTGGTTGTCTTCTGATAGAACAAGTCCCCTTGGACATTCACACTGGTAGGTGTCTTCCACTTCAATACAGGTATGGCTGCAGCCTCCGTTGTTGTTGTGACAGCCTTCGATTTCTGGGAGAGAAAGGAAAATCAGCACACCCTGAGGGCCCCAACGTACCCCTGACCAACACAGACTGTGGCCAACACAGCTCCAAGGCAGCAGCATGGGCAGAGCTTGCTTCCAAGAAAATGCAGTGGAAACCCTCTTTTTAATTGTACAGTTTCCTGTGTTTGTCATTTGCCCATGAGGTTAACAAGGAATTCTGTGAAAAAGAATTACCAAATTAAATCCCACTGAGTAGGCAATCTGCACCTTGGCCCTTTAAAGATCATAGAATGGCTTGGGTAAGAAGGGACCTTAAAGACCATTTTGTTCCACACCTTCCACTATCCCAGGTTGCTCCAAGCTCCATCCAGCCTAGCCTTGGACACTTCCAGGGATGGAGCAGTTATGACTTCTCAGGACAACCTGTGCCAGGCCCTCACCACCCTCACATGGAAGAATTTCTTCCCAATATCCCATCTAAACCTGCCCTCTGTCAGTTTAAAAACATTCCCCCTTGTCCTGTCACTACATGCCCTTGTTGTTTGTCTCTCCTGAGACATCCTCTTAAACTAAATTTTTATGTTGTTTCTTTCTTCGAAAAGGTGGGAGGAAAATCCTCTTAAAAGTTCTACCCCACTCCCTCCCTTCAACACCAGCAGAAAGACAGCCCTGAGCTTTACAGGAGAGCTGCCCTGGGGAGGACAGCCCTGCAGGGAGCCAGCTCCTATTTCCAGCAGGAAACACCAGAGAAAACATGATGTGCTCATTCCCCCTGGGTTCCCCAGCTGTGAGGGGGGTGGCTGTACCAGATTCCTTCAACCCCTCTGTAGGGTGAGGATGAAACTCTGCTCATAGGAGTTTCTTTAGCAGGAATTCTGCTGGTTTGGGAGTTCTAAGGCTTTGAGGTTGGCTCAGGGACAGCATGACACGAGTTCAGGGTGTAAAGTTCATTCCCTTCCTAATTTTCCCCCACTGTCAAGAGCAGAGTAGAGAGGGCAGCACAGCTAATTGGAGGATGTGTCATGTCTTACATCTTATCCATTCAGGTGAGGCAACTCTCTGAGGACCTGAGTTTTTGTGTAAAACATATTCCTGGCTACTACAGCTACAGAAAAGAGCCAGAAAGGTCATCCAGATACATTCTGAACATTTGAAAACCTAAGGAAAGTAAGGCCATTTCCAGCTCTTGTTGGCTTCCTATTATAAAAAAAAAACCAGGGTCATGATTTTTTTGGAAATAATCTTCACTGCTTGATTTTTTTTAACCCTTTGGGATGAGTATGCTAGATGAGTACTACTGTTCTCACTGAAACAATAGTACATGAGATAAACAAATCATAAATACAAAATATTTTTCCTCAAGATTGCCATCAGAAATGACTGTGGTTTTCACTGAAATGTAAAGAAAAGAATGGAAATCCCATACTGACTCCTATACAGTGCATGGAAAACAAGAGCCTGAACACTCCATATGAGTCAAAGTAATGGGTATAGCATCCTAATGGAATATGATACTTTTAACCCTACTCAGCCTCAGCAGCTCATGTAATCAAACTAAATCTCTTGCATTTGTTCTTTTTAGCCACAGCTGTGAGGTGGCTCACAAGTAAATCACATCCTCTAAGGGCTCACAAAGCTGAGGGCACATCTTTAGAAATAAAACTCACTAACAAGACTGTAAAAATCCCCAGCAGCAGTGTTAAACTTGTGAAAAGCACCATCCTTCTTACAGAAGGGGAAATTAAATGATATATCAAAGGCCCTAAAAACCAACATTGGGAACAGCACAAACAAGTTTCCAGACAGACTATTCCAGCCCTGTCAGAAGAGTGTCAGGAATAAAAACTTCACAGCTGGTTTACATGGCCTCCTACCAGCTCAGAGCTGGATGTGGAAGGGACAAAGCTCACAGACCATTTTTGGCCCCACATGATGTGACAAGGACTTCAGGAGCTCTCTGCACAGCATTCCCAGGGCAGTGTCACTGCCTGCATGAGTGATGTTTTGCTAACACAGCTCAGGGAGCAGATTGAGCTCTTCTGGGCAGCTGAAAAGTGAGGCACATCTGCAGCTGTTTTTCTTGTCTGAGGCCCCACAGTATCTGTGAACACCCCACACAGCAGCTTTGCTTTGGAGGGGGCACAGAGCTCTTCACAGCTCACCACAGAAAACATCAGGTACAAGTCTATTTTTGTTGAGTTTGCCTATTTCTGCCCCAGAGATGTCTGTACACTGTTAGTGACAACAGATCAAACCTACCATTTGGTCTTTAAGCCACCAGTCTAAACTCATCAAGGGTTTTCAGCCTGGCTGTGCCACCCCTGAGAAGGAGCTGTAGCAGATGAGCCCACAGCTAACCACTCACAGACACCAAACAGCCAAAATGCAGCCCAAATCTCAAATCTAACTTCTGTTCACACACTGGCACCCCTCTCCTCAGTCTCTGCCCCAGGAGGCTAAAGTGATCCTCATGCTCTAATCTCATGACATTACCCCATACCTAGGTTCAGCTGCCAAAACCCAGCAATGCTAAATCTGTTCCCCCCCCCAAATCTCCAGAGCCAAATCCCAGCAACTCCAGCAATAACCAGTTCCGTGTGGACAACCAGTCTTCCAGATTCACTGCTGCCTTTCCCCCATGGAGGTAAACACAAGCAAATCCTAACACAAGTGAATGAGGCAGGGAGAACAACAAGGAGACTTCTCTCTGCTTGCTTAGAAGGATATTTTAGGAACAACCCCACTGGCAAGCACAGAGGTGATATGAGTGACATTTAATCCCAGCTGCAAGGAGCCAGGAGAGAAGCAGTGCTGCAAGGGAGAGGGAATGATTCATGCTGTCCCTGTGGCAGCTGAAGCCTCACCTTCACAGGTTCTGCCATCGCTGCCCAGCGTGCGCCCGACCCCGCACTCGCAGCGGTAGGAGTTCTTCAGGTTCACACAGAACTCACTGCAGCCTCCATTGTTCTGCTCACACTCATTTTCATCTGAAAAAAATCACCCCAAACCAGTGTCAGAACATGCCCTCAGTAAACACACAGCTGGCACGTGGGAGCACTGCTCAGACTGGCTTTCCTGGCCTCCTGAACGGGATCGGGGCAGCAGAGATCATATCACAGGACATCTTGAATGGGAAGGGACCCACAAGGATCGTCGAGTCCAACTCCAGGCCCTGCACAGGACAACCCAATAACCCAACCATGTGCCCTGAGAGTGCTGTCTGAACACTTCCTGAACTCTGGAATATAATGAGTAATCTCTCTGACAGCGGCTTTTGAATCTCTTGGTAAAGCTCTGAAAACTCCTGCTAATCCTGTTTTAAAGGCTAAACTTTCTCTGTGTCTGTCTGCTTTACTTTTTTTTTGAAAGGTACTTTTTCTCTGAGATTCTCATTCTTCAACCTGATTTCATCTCTGCGTACAAAAAGTGAATCAGAGGAAGGGACAGACATTGCTATTGTTAAGCCACAAAACTAACAATTTCTCTTAGGCAGGCCAGCATACTGAGGTTATCAATCAAGGTTCTATCAAAACAGCTTAGAGGCTGGCATTTACTAGATGTCAGAAGCTTAAATTAAGAAAAAAAAGCAAGATATCATTTTAAGAGACAGGTCAGAGAGGCGCTTTCTTAGGTATCAGTGGTCCCACACACTCACAGTGCCCACAGCTTGCAGCTGGTGCTGGTGTCTCCTTCCACAAGCGACGTGAATTGAATATTTTTAGCCAAAGAATTGGCTGCTACCCTGCTTTGGGAGGCAGGAAGCATGTCCAGGAGACACACAGACACACTGCTTTTCACACATGTGACAGGCTCCACACTTTCCCTTCTAAAAATAAAACTAAAGCTGCTTAAAAACAGAAGGTGAAGAGGGAAAGGGCTAACTGGCAAAGGCACGGAGATGCTGTTAGAAGGGCCTAGAGCTTGTCGTGGTCAAGGGCTGTACCCAGCAATCCCCCTTGCTGGTCCCTCAGGTTCTACAACACACAGATCTGTCCCTGCTCTTCCACACTAGTGACAACCAGCACTTCTGGGACACTTCTGTTTGTCTCGAGATTGGACCGGGAGAGCACTGAGCTGATTTTATCCATGGTTTAGTAGGACATGGATCCAAGTATTCATGAGGTCAAAGGCAATGCCCTGAGTTGGTGGATGTGTGATGGGAAGTCCAAGACCTTACCTAACCACTGAGCTTGCAAATGAAAATGTAACTGAGGATCAGCAGTTCTACTCTGGGATTCAAAGCATGTAATGTACTGAGAAGCACAGGGAGGTGCACAGAGCTGTTTAACATTCATGGAATGGTTTGAGTTGGAAGGGTCCTTAAAGCCCATCTCATTGCACCCTGCCATGGGCAGGGACACCTTCCACTAGCCCAGTTGCTCCAAGCCCTGTCCAACCTGCCCCTTGATGGGGCAGCCACAGCCGCTCTGCTGCATTACTGCAGCATCATCAGCCCCTCTTTTTATGAGGAGCTGGGAAAAGAAGCATATTCTCCATTTAGGAAAGGCTAATAGGGATTTATTTAGTTTCTCTGGAAGGCTGGCACAGCTGCTCTGAGAGACGTGATTGCACAATTACTCAGCGCAACAGAAAGTCATTAGAGAGATGAGTGAGCCACACAAGAGAGGCTGCAGGCTGGTGACCCAGTGTGATCATTCCAGCTGAGCTGTTGTGCCATCTGGGAATCCCAGGGAGAAGCAGCAGTGCAGAAATCCTGCCCAGCCTGGCCATGGAGGGGTGAAGGCAGCTGCAGCACACACAGACAGGCTCAGGCTCCTGCGAGCCTACCTGCTGCAGGAAATCCTTTCCTCTGAGCCTGCCACAATTTTATTGAGTGCTGGTGCTTGTCAAGGGCACTTCTGTGACTGGAAGTCTTGAACAGAAGCAGCCAATAAATGCTTTTAATTACCTGAGAGAGCTAAGTCAGCCACTTGACTGCAGAGATGTGGAGCTGCTTAAGCAAAACCCTTCCACAGAATCAGTGTGAGCCAGAGTAACTCTGCAGCAGGGCCAGGCTGCTCTCTCCACAGACTGGGATGACTGTGGCCCCTACCCTGATGCCCAAAACACGAGGGGTGTGAAGAAACCACCCACGCCTGCTTTGTCAGCTGTAGTCGGTATGGAAGAGGCTGATCTGCCACACAGCCTCCTGGACCAACTCTGCTTTCAGCTTCCCCACCAAATCAGGCCACAAAGACACAGACGAGATCCCACCTCCTCCATACACTGGCACCCCTTCCTCCTCCCTCCACCTCACCTCTTCTTATCCACCAGCGTGGTTCTGCAGCTCCCCAAGGGCCACCCCTTCCAGCCCCTTGCTTTCCCCCACAGATCATCTTCTCCCTGACCTCCCAGTCCAGGTGCTCTCCTCCCAGCACCACACACACGACCACAGCCGTCCTCTCCTCAGAGGTCCATGAGGATTCCCTTCCAAATCCCCAAAGCCCACATTCCCCACTCTGCTCTCACTTACAGCCCTCCACCTCCCTCTGGCTGTGCCAGTCTCTGTCACCAAATGCCAACGCCCCGAACACCCCCCTGTCATGCTGCCTAAAACCACTGCAGCTGTGATGGGACTTACTGTCCTTTGGCTCTCCTTAAGGCCCAGGCCATGGACAATGTCCCAAAAGGGCAGGAATATGGTGGAGCTTAGTGTGCAGCCTTACACCAGCCAGCAAAACTTTTTTTTGGGAGGAAAGAGGCATTCAACAGAGCATCTAATAACAGGCTGCACAGCATTTTCTGAATACCACAGGGAGACTGTACCACAATCTTGCAAAGAGACTCTGCTACTGGCAGTGCAGCTGTTGCCTTCAGAAAGCAAATCTAGTCTCCGTAACACAGAGCTCCAGGGCCACCAGAATGGATTCAGTCGTGGGACGTCTCTTGGAATCACTGACAGAATCATAGACCTATTCTAGGCAGCAAGGGAGGAAACTCCTCTTAGAATACTTCACGTTTTGCACTGCTTTGCAAGGCAATGGGTCGAGAAGTGAGCGATGAAACAAAGGGAAAGAAAGCATTGGTAGCTGGCACAGGTTATTCCCACTCTTACCAAGGCATGTCTGTCCATCAGGTCCTAGTGTTGTCCCTGGGGAACAGGTGCAGTCACTGGTGTCCAGGCAGGGGCCCTGGCAATCCACCACATCACAGATGTCATAAAAATCTAGGGCATGACAAGAACACTGTCAGCTCAAAGTGCTGAGCATGCAACAAAAATAACCACATTTGTCCCATCAGCTTCCTGCCCTGGGAGCAGCCCAGCAGTTCCAGACCTGGCCCACGTTGGGAAAGACGAACCGCTGAAGCTGCTAAGAAACAATCTGCTTTAATTACTGCACGTCAGAGATGCAAATTTTGACTTTGGCAGTGAGCCAAGACAAACCATGGCGCCCACAGAGAGCACCAAATCACCGCGAGCCGGGTCAGCCACGGAAAATTCCCACCGGCAGAACGCAGTGGGTGGAACTGCCTCACGGATCCCACACAGACAGGCCACCACCCGCACCTGACGGGTGGCAAAGCCCGAAGCCAGGCACCGGGGACGAAGGGGGTTTGGAAAAGGGAGCCACTTACGGCCGCAGTAGGCGTGGAAGCACACGCTGGGCTTGGAGAGGTGGTACACGTAGTAGCCGCCCGGGCAGGCCTTGACGTCGATGGTGGTGTTCCAGAGGCAGCAGTTCCCGTTGAAGCTGGCGCAGGCCTGGTGCTGGACGACGCCGTCCTGCTCCCGCGGGTGGCTGCCGTTCATCCAGATGGGAGCGTGGGTGCCGCAGTGGTTCTCGGGGATGCAGAAGGTGGGCATGGCGTCGCCCGCCATGCCCGTGAAGCGGTACCACTCCCCGTCGATCTGGCTGTCGCACGTCGGCTGCCCCTGGGAGCCGTTGATGTGGTGATCCGTGTTCCTCCAGGGCTCGTTGAGGCTGATGTAGGCAGAGCAGGGGTCCAGGGCTGGGGCAGGCAGCAAGAGAGAACAGCTGGTAGATATCAAACCGACTGAGAACCGTAAACAATGCAAAATAATTTCCTTTTCTGTCCCTGACTTAACAGAATCACCGTGATAGAGATCCCCAGGGAGACATGGCCATACCAGCAAGCTGACTTGTGGAAAATTCTGACAGCTCAGCTTAAATTTACTTGTTCTTCCAAGACCTCAACAGAACTCTCACAACATTATGCAACAGCCTGACTTGCCGCTTTGCTGACAGGGGGTAAAAAAAAAAGATATAAGCAAATCTGGGGGCCAGGTAGTGATTTTGCCATGGGAAATACAACCTGGGAGCACTGGATCTAGTCTAGGATACCCAGCCTTTGTTAAGTCCTAACTGAGAACCTGCAAGCCCCTCCTGAAGTCACTGGTAACTCTCCCAGATGCCTTGGAGCAAAGGAATATATCTCAAACAAGTTATGCAGTCTCTTTTAAAACCCACCTACAGCTGGTACCAGCCCTTACAGTCGAGTTGTCAACTCAACTGTTATTTAAAATCTAGATGGCATGAAGGTCTGAATTGGGACCTTCTGGAGAGCAAAATGTTCAACTCTTGACACAGCTGCGCTGCTCCCAAGGCCACAAACCCTGTCTGATCATGCAGTCCTCAAGGAGCGTGTCCCTTTTCAGAGGCCTTTCTGAACCTTCTGTAAACACTTAAAACATAAGAGTTCCATAGGGAGAACAGAAATAAAGATTTTAAGTCTTCATTACATTTTCAGTCTTCTTCTAATTAAGCCTGATTTGGCAGCTTCCTCACTGAAAGTCCAGAGGTTCCATCTTCCCTTACATTTAATACCTGATTAAGGACTACTTATCCATGACAGGCTATTCCCTATTAAGCAAAATGAATGCTAATCCTGTCCTGAGTAAGGAAAATTGATTACTATTTCCTGAAATTAGGCTAATACAACCAATCATTCTGATTAAATGCATCTCAGACTGGAATAGCCTCTACTTCCCACAGCACAATTCCTTTTAAGTTCTAAAACTGTGCTGTTTTGTTTTGTTTAACAATAGGGTGATGCAATTTGGGTGGGGGGAGGAACATTATACTATTTCTATTAGAATTTCTGGACACAAACCTTCCTGGTTCATTATTTTGATTTGCTCCACTGATTTTAAAGTGGAAACTTTAAAGTGCTTCAGAGAATGGACTTCAAAGTCACCCTTATTTAGCTGTGCCCTCTGTAAATATCTGTCCCACAGACATGGAATGTTGTACAAGTATCTCATAAATACAGCATCTCTCCTGATGAGCACCCTTGCACCTTCCTCAGCTACAGACACACCTTGTTTGGTCTCAAATCCAGCATAAAATGCAGGAGCAGCTGCCACAGTCAGGAGTGCTGCAGAGCAGAGCACGGATCTGGGTTAGGAAAGGAATCTCAGAGTTCAAAAACAGGCAGAGGAGCTGATTCACTGCCACCACAACCAGCCCAGCTCTCCTGAGCAGCAGAGAGGGGAAGGCAGGAGGGAATCTCTGAGGAGATCCCTCAGGAGCTCTCCATTTCACCCACCTCTCCTTGCCTGCCCTTACCCACAGACAACAGCAGTGCTGGAAATCCCATCCTCCAAAAGCTCGCTTGACTTTTCCCCAAAGGAAAAGATGTGTCCCAAACAGAGCTTCCCCTGGGCTTCCCTCGATGTAACTCCCTTGGTTTTCCACCAGAGGATTTGGTGTGGCCTTAGGGTGAGTCACTGACTAAGATGAAAAGGTTTTCATGCTGTTCAAAGCCAAATGAGGTGAAGTGGGAATGCCCTGTCAGCTTCCCAACTGGGCAGCACTAAAAATACACACAGCCTCATTAGCTTTCATGCAATTAACTTTATGAAATATCCTCTGTGGACAGCCTCTGGAAACACTCATCTAGGGAGAGCACGTTGAGTCCTAAACATTCAGAAGATAATTTAAAGACAAAATATACTGAGATGAAGATGCAGTAGCTCAAAGGAAGCTGGCAAGAAGGCACATCGGGGGAACTGAGGTAGCCTTTCCTCACATCCTTCATTCCTCTGAGAGCTTCTGGCAGGAGTGAGGGGGAGGCAAACAAGCAGAATAAGCAGACAGTGCTCTTTGGAACACTGCAGATCCTCATGGCCACCCTCGATGTGCCAGTGCTGCCCCATGCCAACCTCCCTGCAGACACCAGCAGCCCTTGGCAGCACAGTGTACTGAAAACAGATTGGAGTTTTTAGGAAAAAAATCTGATCAACTTCTCGTCTCCTCTCCCCAACCAACGAAAGCTTGGGGGTTTGCACAAGACATATCACTGTCTCCAGCTCCCTCCATTTTTCATTTTTCTTGGCTCAATTCTTTTTCCTCCCCAACACTCCTTGCGTGGCCCGAGCAGTTCAGCCTGACAAGCATTAGCTATGAAGCAAAGCTTCTCCATTTGTAATCTTGACAATATCATCAGTTCTCTAGCTGACATGGGATCGTATATACTGGGTGACAAATCAGGCTCCAGCAAGCATTTGTGAGCCCACCATTCTGCAGAGATTAATCCTGTGTGGATTGTGTAACTGGAGGTCTCTGCTCCAGCACAACTAAGCAACGTAGTGAGCAGCACTGCATTATGACACTTAATTCAGTTCAGATTTGTCAAAGAAGCAGGTGAAAAGGTAGCATAATGGCTATTCATAGAGCCTGTCCTCTAAAGGGAGAGGAAAATCCCACAGTGCCTTGGCAGGAGAGGTTCTCCCAGTACAGGAGACTTCACGCTCTGTGACAGAAAGATCTTTCCAACTGGAAAGAATTTTACATCATCTTCAAAGGAAAAGAATATTTCTCCCATCTTCCAGCCTTTCACTTAAGCATACCAAGGCTCAGCATGAACCTTTACAGATGGCAAACAGAAATAAGGCAATGCCTCTTTACTCACCCATCGAAGACACTGGCTGGAGCTGGATGACAAAGCAGATGCAGAAAAATGAGTACTGGAACATCCCACTCAGCCAAGGAGCAGTCACTGCTCAAGGAACAGAGGCTTGAAAGCCCTCACACACGCTGTGGCTCTTGCAGCCTTCCTCCCAGTGGAGCTCCCGACTCCAAGGTTCCAGAAGAGCAAGTGTAGTCGCTCTCCTGGAAGTTTATCAGAGGAAGAAGCCGAGGGGATGTGGGGTACAGCTCCAGCCTTGACCTCCCCAGAGCAGCTCTGCCCCTGACTGACAGCAGAGATGTACTCACTGGTCAATGTTGTTTTTTGGACTCGACCTGCTATTGTTTTCTGCCCTGACTGCCCCACAGTGACACCTCCGCTATCTCATCCGGAGAGGAGTTCTAACCAGGGACACCCGGACATCCCGAAGGCATGGAAGAGAAGAACAGATGGGTGCTTGTTATCTCTGCTCCTTCCACAAGTCCTACGACTCCATGGCTCCCCCAGGCAGAAAACACTGGCCAGAGAGCCTTAACTGCAGGAAATGGTGGCCAAAGGAGGAGACTGATCCTTCCGAGCAGAGATTGCAGAGGAGCCCCTGGAGCAGAGCTACAATGGGAACATCAGTCAAAGTGAAAGACTGGTGTCCCACAGGGAAATAAAGCTGTTCCGAGGCTCCCTTTTCACTCCTGGTCACACAACCTGATTGCAGCAAGGTTATCAAACAAGGCAAGTAGAGACCCTTTTCTGCAGCAGTCTTACAATCTCCTCATCTTTAAAAAACAAAACCAAACCAACAATCAAAAAATCCATCATTAAGGAATTAAGTTCCACGCAAACCCAAGTAATTGAGAGCCTCTCCTTACTGGTTCAAACCAAACCAGGCTGAGCTGCAGGTGACAACCACGAGCTCTGGATGTAGCACCCTGAAATCTGTTCTCTGCTAAAGCAAACCCAGCACCATGGCTGGCAGTGGGATACCAAGGACAACGTGAATAAGCGGAAAGGGATCTTCCCTCTCCTCCCATCAGCTCTTGCTATAAGAGATCTCCATCAGCAATGAGTGCAGCTAAGCCTACAGTAATCACACAGTCAAGCAAGGGATGTATTTCCCCATTCCCTTCCCATCCTGCATTTCTGCAGCAAGCTGGAGTAAGGAATGACATCAAGGTTGACGAGCCAGCTCAAAATCCCAGCAGGAAAAAAGCAGCTCCGTTATTTTCACATTGAGTTTGCACAAGACAAGGAGCTGGGTGTTTGCTTCACAGGGATTGCACACTACAGAACGTTCTCAATGGCCTTTCCCTGCCTGGATGTGTCCCTGGCAGCAAAGTGCAATTTGCTCCTCTGCTCCACCCAGCACAGGAGTCCTTTATCAGTGGTGAATGACTCTGAGGAACGACAAAAAAACCCAAATAAGTTACAGACATTGCTCCCACCAAAATAAATAAAAAAATCCTTGTGGCTCTATTGTGCTGACAGCTGTGCAGTACTAGAAAAGGTTTTCCAACAACAGGAAAAGAGAACAGATTCACTACACAAAGCTATCAAGGCAGATAACCCTTAAACAGTGCTTGTGTGAATTCCCAGAAGAGAAACTAAAATTGAACAGAGAGTACTGCAACAAGACACAGGGATTTATATTTTGCCATTTTCGTGGAGAGGGTGATTCCTACTTATGATCCTGGGTAAATAAAACTGACAAGCGTGGATGGAATGTTCTGTTGGTGCTACAGGTGTGTACAGTTCTCTGAACCATCTCATTTCCCAGCTGCTTTTGTTTTAGAGGTGCTACATGAGCCTGTCACAATCGTGCTTTGACAGGTACAGGTAAGTGACTGACAGCTGACAACACAGGGAAACCAACTGCAGCATTGAAATTCTGAGCCTCAAAGGGGTCGCCAACAGGCCCTACCAAGTTCTCCAAAATGGATTAAAGCAGGAGATGCCCAAGCATTCCCAGAGATGGCACTATCCCCAATCACCACAACATCTAGTTCAAGGAAAGGGTCTCAAGCTGGAGAAGATTGTGTGCTGCCTCTAAACACTTTTGGGAAGAAGAACCAGAGGCAACCCCTCTATCAGCACTTTCTCTTTGCTTTGTAAATTAATTTGGGTGACAAACATTGCTCCACAAACAATAGTAGCCTGAATTGGATCACATAATCTGTGCCTCAGGGAGCTGTGTTAGTCATTTCTGAAAGCAGAAAGGGAGAAAAAATCCAAACAGAATCCTTCTTGCAAGGAGATGCTCTGGAAGAGAGGAGATAATTCCAATGGGGCGCTCTAGGGCCTGCAGTCTCCAGGCAAATCCATTGTTCCTGACCTCCACTTCCACACTCCAAGGATGAATGAGTCCAACTTTCCCAAAAAGAATAAGGATCAAGTTAGTACTTCTTAAAAGTACTCATCAGTACTGTTTAAAAGATGTGAAGGGGGGAGGCAGTACTAAAACCAAGGGCTGCAATTTTGTTTTGGTATGCAAAAGTTCTAAACCTGCTGCAAAGCTTGGGTATGTCTGCTCTTGACGTGAGAAAGGCTGCTCATTTTGCAGTGGCAAGCACCCCCTTCCTGCCCCTCCCAGACATCTGGAGGGCTTTACCATCCTCACACAAGGAACTCAGGTTCCTCAAAGCACTGGCTGGGCTGGAAAGCCTTGTACTGTTTGTAAGGGACTGCTGACTGAAGAGGCTTTGTCAGAAACACCACTCAAGGCACCGCAGTGCCCAGAGAAGGGGAGGTGCTGAAGCACAGCTCTGGGTGCAGGGACCTGCCCAGAGGAGCAGGAGGAAGAGCTAATCAGCACTTCCTGCCGCCGAGGGAGAGCAGAACCCGGCACACGCGGCAGGATCTGAGGATGCAGGGTCACAGCAAGCCCTGACAGGCTGCTGAGATGGATTGCACCAAAGTCAAGGACTCTGAGATAGGCCTTGGTGCTGTAAACAACGCGTCCCAGGACACGGTGCCAATGGGAAGGGCTGGGGAGATCAGGGAGCAAACACGAGCCTAAGGAAGAACGAGTGTGAACTCAAGTAAAACATCAAGGGCCCATTAAAATCAGGCAAGTACAACACCCCTAATGAAGAGCAGCAGTTATTTCCTCTCCCTTGGTGGAGACCTGTGATGCAGAGCTTGCTGTTTTGGGAGTGTTTTTCCACAGGTCCTACAGAACCCGGTGTATTTTCCATGATCCTCAATTTTCAGATGGAGAAATTAGGGCGTACAAGCTCACAGAGCCACATCCTAAAACCAGCTTCTCCCATACTTCAGGGCTTAGGTATACTTCAAGCCTAATTTCCATTCCTGTATTTTACTTTTCACCCCTTTTATGTCATTATACAAGTAAATCTGATTTTTTTTTAAAGGAAATAATTAGAATCTCTTGGGACAGTTAAGATTCAAAAATCTCCTTCCCTGTGTGAAAATAAAGCCATACAATGTGGCACAGAGGAAAGCAGCTCACATTTACAGCTCCACTCACAAGAAAACCTCAGAAGATACCAAAGAAATTGGTCTGCTGGCTCAAAGAAAGGGCAACTTGGCCAGCTCCACTCGAGTGGCACAGTGCCAAGGTCTGACAGCCAAGAGCAGCTCCAGAGCATCATGCAAAACCCTCCTAGAGCCAACATGGAAGTGTAGGAACTTGCAGCAAGGTGGATCATGGTGGCTGCCTGCCAGGCAGGAAGGGATAGAGGGCAAAAGAGAAGGGGTTTCTTCTTTTCTCTTCAGGAAAAAGGAGCCATGAACACCTTTCCCTGGAGGGTGGAAATGTAGAGCCTCACAGGCACAGCAAAGGAAACCTAGTACAGCTCTCCAGGCAACTTTAAACCGGTCATGTATTTGAAAGTCCCTCTCACAAAAGAGGTTCATCAAAAGAGTAACAAAGCTGGTAGAAGCAGCAGCACCTGAACACTGCAGTGCACACTGCTGCTCGTCCCTCACGGGGTGAAGAATGCAGTGGGACATTAAGATTCAGGCAGCACTGTGCAGGACCCTGTCACCTGCCTGGCTCCAAGATGGGCAATAGCTGCTGCAAGAGAGTGTGTTCCTGTGGAGATTTAACAGTGTGGATCAGGAGAGCAAATTAACATTGCCCTCCCCTTCAGTGTTGGCATTCCAAGGCACTGAGATGGGAGTGTGAGGCTTATGGCATGTCATCCATACCTGGCAGAGACCACAGCGCACTGGGACAGCAAAATCTTCAGGAATATGGACTAACAAGACCCGCTGGACAGCCTGGATTTCAGGGAACAACTGCAGACTCTTGTCTTCCTTCCTTCTCCTACACTGTCTCTATAACAACATTAAAACATGTGCTGGAACAATTTTGTCACCGCATCTTCTTTCTTTCAAACTAGAGATTGTGGTGCCAGATGTCATGAGTCTCCTGTTCTTTTGGATGCCAAAATGGGTGACCTTTTATGCAACTGAGCCAAGCAATTTATATAAGCATGGCAGCAGTTCATCTGGACACAGCAGTGGACTAAGGGCTGCTTGGAGGAAGAAGGTTTGTCACCTGTGATTAAAGGGAGGTTACAACTAACAGCTTCCAGTCCTTCTCCAGCTTTAAAAAACACAAGGTGGCTCTTTCAAAAAATATAATACCCATGATTGGCCAGTTTTTGAAACAGTTGATGGACACGATAGAAACCTGCACCAAACACCTCATCCCAACACCACAAAGTTAGGACAAAGTACAGTTTGCTGATTCCCAAAGTTAATGAACAAATCATATGCCACCATGACAAATCAGACCATTCAAGGGCCCAGAAAGGAACAGAAGCTTAAAACTTCAGCAACTTTCCTCTGAAACAGCACTTGAATGAAACACAGAAACACTGACACCACTTGGTTGACACTTTTTAGGTAGCTGGGGTGTATATTCTTATCTTGCTACTGTGTTGGTCAAACAAAGGCACATCTTTGTCAGACCAAGTGTCTCTACCTCCACCTGAGCACCTCAAGTGCTCCCGAGATCCCTGTGTTAGGCAGCCAGGCATGGCAGCAGGATCTCCATCCGAGCTCCTTCAGCAAAGCTCTGCTCTGCGTCACCACGGCCTCAGAGAGGTAAGGGCAGGAAGAAACAACCTAAACAAAGAGAAATGGAGGAAACTCAGCAGAGAGCTCCCACACAGGCAATATTCTCTTCTCAGTTGAGGAAAATAACATTATTCAAGAGCACCCATTCAAAAATTGAATAGTTATTTATTGTTCCAGAAGTACATTGCTCTTTTATACATATTTCATAAATGATACAGGATTTTACACATGTTCATTTTTTTTTGTTTGTTTTGTTTTTTT